ATGTGATTTTAAAGGGGACTTCCTCTAATACAATTAAGTTTTGCTTAACATGTTATGCGCAATGTGGCCTATTGACTTCTACTTCAGCCTGCTGATCTTTCTGGATTTGCTTTCACTTTTGTCCATCTAAGAACAATCTACAAAGAAAAAGTAGTTCGAATTTTCCTTCTATGTGCAATTTTTATTATTTTAAAACTGTGAATATTAAATTTCTAAATCATTGTTTCCAGTTGTAATATTTATATTATTTTTAATGAAAACTCTTCAAGAACGGCAATAAAACGCTGATACTGCACTGAAATTTGTCTTGGGCACACTTTTTCTGGAGAATGTCTAGCTGTAATAGATCCAGACATCCATATTTTACATTAGCTAACAGCAATAGGCCATACCATTTATACTATATCCAGGTTTGTTAACATATCGCATGCTTTGATTTTATTATGCGTTTGTTCTTTGACTTAAAAATTATAAACACAGAATGTACAATCACAAAACTCGCAAAAAAATAATACTATAAAGAGCTGAGAAGGAAAAAACACTTTAATATTGCAGAGGTTCTCATGTTTTGTAAATCCTGAGGTGGCTTTCAATGGTCTGACGACAAACAGGACAGAGCTGCTTGGCCAAATTTTTGCTACAGTTCTCGCAGCAGACGATGTGACCGCAGGGGCTGAAGGCCACGCATGCCTTATTGTCCAGACACAGCTTGCACAGGCTTTCTCTCTTCAGACGCAGAAGTTCGTCTGCCTGCTCTCTCGCCAGGTCGGATGTGACGTCAGGTCCGTCCGCCTGCTGTCTTGTGACGTCAGCGGATGACGCATACTTCTGCTGATCGATCTGTTGGAAAATTTAGATCTCTAGTTGACCCACATCGAAAATATTTTAGACCTGTAATTAACCAATTGAAGATATTTTAGACTTTAATTTACTAATATTAGCGATAATTAAGACTGGCAGTTGACCAATATTTACGATACTCACTAGCGATCGACCAATCAAAAATATTTTAGGCTTTTTTTGGACCAATTTTAGACTATTATCATATATTTTAGACTTGCAGTTGGTTATTATTAATGATAATTTAGACTAGTGGTTAACTAAGTTTGAAACTATTTAGACTTGTAGCAGACTAAGGATTGGTCCATAAATGAGATCATACACCTAGGGGTTAGGGATTAGGAATTAAGACGAAGACGATTTATACCGAGGGAAAGAGGGTTTCGGCACAATTTTACATTTTAAAAAGTAATTTTTGAAGCTGCGAATCAGTGGTGTTTACATCTGTAGTTGGTCAAAATAAGAATATTTTACATCTGTAGTTGGTCAATATCAAAAATATTTTACATCTGTAGTTGTTCAATATCAGAAATATTTTACATCTGTAGTTGGTCAATATCAGAAATATTTTACATATATAGTTGACCGACATAAGGGATCTGTAGTTTGCCCAAGCGATAGACATTCTAGACGTGCAGACCATGAAGACATTTTGTCTGATTGCAAATTAGTTACCTTTCTCACAACTTGAGGGTTCAAAGTCCACTTTTGCCCGTCGCTATACTCCACACAGAGATCCGTATCTTGATATATTTTAACCACTGTACCGACTCTAGTTTCATACTGAAATAAAAAAAAAATGTTCAATCGATATTAACAGTAAGAATCACGAATGTAAGAAATTACAAGATAATTTTAAAAATAAGTTTTAAACTATCTCTCACTAAGGCTAGTGGTAAAATCGATCATGCTTTTTTTTCAATCAGACTCACGCTAAGATCGATGATGACCTACCTCAGCCATCCGAACAACCCATTCACCGTGACCTTTCTGTAGGTCCTCGACCTTGACTAAATCCTGCAGAAACTGCACTCTGTCTCCAACTTTAAAGTCCAGATACGCCTCTGTTGGTTTTCCTGGGGAAAGGGTAGTATATGGTGAGGGGAGGGGGTAGTATAGGGTGAATTGTTCTAGAAAGAGTTATATTAAAGACTTAACTTAAAAGTCAAGATACGCCTCTGTTGGTTTTCCTGGGGAAGGGCTAGTATAGGGTGAATTGTTCTAGAAAGAGTTATATTAAAGACTTAACTTAAAAGTCAAGATACGCCTCTGTTGGTTTTCATGGGGAAGGGCTAGTATAGGGTGAATTGTTCTAGAAAGAGTTATATTAAAGACTTAACTTAAAAGTCAAGATACGCCTCTGTTGGTTTTCCTGGGGAAATGGTAGTATACGGTCAATTATTCTAGAAAAAGTTATAAAGAATACACTTAACAACTTGAGATAAGATACGCCTCTGTTGGTTTTCCTGGGGAGGGAGTAGTGTAAGGTGAATTACTCTAGAAAGAGTTATATAGAATAGACTTAACAGCTTTATAGTTAAGATACGCCTCTGTTGGTTTTCCTGGGGAGGGAGTAGTGTAAGGTGAATTACTCTAGAAAGAGTTATATAGAATAGACTTAACAGCTTTATAGTTAAGATACGCCTCTGAGCTGTATAAAAAAAAGGTACGCCTCTGAAAGGTTTTGTACAGTGTTATGTTAAATTGGTTATTAATTTTCATTAAGTAAGCCTAAGCATCGTTTGCAACTTTGTATTTTAGCTATGCTACTGCAGTTTTTACAAGAATAGGTGGTGGATTATTAGATAAATAATAACTTAAACACCGTATTTGGCCTCAAAATTTATAGTGTGAGATAAGCCTTTGGAGGATTTCATATGTAATGAGGGAAGAGAGGAACCTGGGACATATGTAACAATAATTACATTAACACGTGACTTTACATGTATATGGAGATACTCATCCAGATATTTTGTTTTCTATCAAGTTTAGTTGCTTTGATTTACAACCTTGCTGACACATTGCAATGATAAGTTCATTTAGTAAGGTTAACACGATTGTGCAGTCAACGAGCCTGGGGAGTAGTGTGGGAAGGTGCATCTGCACCGGGCAGTTGATTTTTTTATTTAATTGTTTAATTCGCATAAGTTCGTAGTCAAGACACATTTTTATAGTACGATATTTACAAATGACACAGCGTTTTGAACCACATTAATTTAATATATAGGAGAAGGAGAAGTGTTCACGTTTGTGATAAAACTAAAATAGAGATAACAAACGCTTAAGTAGATCAAGTTTAAGTTACGCACAAAGTCAAGCATATAACGTTTACCCCCCCCCCCCCCGTCCCTCCCTTCAATGGGTGGCTTCAGTACCTTTTGATGATGCGCTATGGGATAACTAGGTTCAAGCAAAAACTATAGAATAGGGGTGGGAACAGAGGGGGGGGGGGGCGATAAAAGGGCAAAACACACATTTAATGTAAGTCAGATAGAAGGAGTTAAATCGGTACCTACACGTGGATCATAACGAAGGGTAGAAGAAGAGGAATAGGCCTACAGTTTAAATTTGTAATTTGAGATTCCCTAAATTTTTAGTCACAGTTCTCAGTGTCAGATAACACAAGATGTCCTACAACAAATGCTGTTGTTGTGTGTGTTGCAGCCACCGTGTATTCCAACGATACAACAAAGGCTGTTGTTTTGTGTGTTGCAACCACCGTGTATTGCAACGATACAACACGGCTGTGCGGTGCTTACCTAAGAGTGGCAGGTGATCGCTGTAGTAACTCTGTTCAGGTGCCAGGACAACCGGCCTCGTCCCGTGCCTGTCGTCATGGCTGACGTCATACACGCCCTCGTTTCCGTTAGACCAGGCGACCTTGACCGACATTTTCTGGGAGCTGACATCGATGGAGGTAACTCTTCCATATTTGCCGTCCCCACCTGAGAGAGATAGACATCAAGTTGTCAGAAGCTTTGAACACTGGGAATGTTGAATTATATATGTTACGGTCAAAGCCCGAAGTGCGGCCAAACCCCGGATTGGCCGGCCAATGCGCGGATTGGCCGGCTCTCTTGGCCAAAGCCCGAAGAACTTAGAACTAAGATCGTATTTCGTACATTGGCCGGCCAATGCGCGCACTGGCCGGGACGTACTGGCCAAAGTCCGAAGTGCTTAAACTTGACGGCGTATTTTGTACATTGGCCGGCCAATGCGCGCATTGGCCGGGATGTCCTGGCCAATGTTCTATCTAGACTAAGTTGTGATTGCCTTTTTTCATTATTCTGGGTGCGGTTTCATTGTGAGTAACGTATTGTTTAGCTCTTGTTTGTATAGCATTCTATATGCAAGGCGACATGGATCAAAGGGCCGTCAGACCATGAGACAGACATAGCAGATGGCTGTCAAAAGAAAAAAATGTAAATCCATGTTAGTTTCCATATATGGGCTACAACCGTATGTGACAGCCTCCTCCGTGATGACGAGGTGAGACAATCATCAAAGAACAAAATCAAAGACAGTCGGCATCACCGACCACGTGCAACAAGACGGAACGTTCAAAAGACTTTGCCGCGTTCCTTGTAAGCTACAAACCTTTGATATTTAAAGAATTTAACTCAAGATGCCAAGTAGATCTTATTGATATGCAAAGTAACCCAGACGGCAAATACAAGTTTATACTCAGTTACCAGAATCATTTAACCAAGTTCATATTGTTGCGAGCTTTGGAAACCAAAAGAGCAGAAGAATTTGCTTACCAGCTGCTGGATATCTTCACGACTATTGGTGCCCCAAGTGTGCTTCAATCAGATAATGGAAGAGAATTTGTGAATCAAGTTATTTCTGAACTAAAGAACATGTGGCCTGAACTTAAACTAGTTCACGGAAAACCAAGGCATAGCCAAAGCCAAGGTTCAGTCGAACGTGCCAACCAAGATGTTCAAAACATGATGATGACATGGATGCAAACAAATGAATCAGCTCATTGGGCTGAGAGTCACAAATTCATTCAATTTATGAAAAATCGTTCTTTTCATCAAGGAATCCAACAATCACCATACGAAGCCTTGTTTGGATGCAAAGCAAAAGTGGGACTTAGCACTTCAAATCTACCAAGAGAGGCTCTCAATAAAATAGTTACTGAGGAAGATCTTGAGAACATTGAACAAGAAATGGAGGTTGCCATAAATGCAACTACATCCTCAGCTAACACAAAACATCTGCTGCCGTGGCGGAACGTCCAGACCAGTTGCGTGACAATAATGTTTTTCAATTCTTCACGAAAAACTGCTCTTATTGTCGTCAGTTGGCACTGAGGATAAATCACTACGAACCATCGCATCTTCACAATCATTGACTGGGGGCCAAGGCTACACTCGCTGCAATTGCACAACCAAGTGCACAACAAATCGCTGCAAGTGTAAAAATAACAAGCTGCTATGTAATTCTAAATGCCATAAAAGTTCAACTTGTTTTGATTGATTGAGACTATAGTACAATAAAATATTTGAATGTTTCTGTCATTTACTTTAATGAATAATCAATAAAGACTTAATTTCATGATCCTTAAGGTATAAAAAAAAAACCCAAATCTGCTCATGAGCTTTTAATTCGGACTTTGGCCGGTCGTCCCTAGCCAGATGATCTTCTAATTCAGACTTTGGCCGGTCCACCATGGCCAGTCTGCGGATTGGCCGGCCAAAGGCCGAAATCAAGCAAAGTTTCGGACTTTGACCGACCTATGGGAGGCGATATTGGCCAATGCGCGGATTGGCCGGCCAATCCTAGCATTGGCCGACTTCGGGCTTTGACCGTAACATATGTATATATATATATATATATATATATATATATATATATATATATATATATATATATATATATATATATATATATATATATATACCTTTTCAGCTACAGGTGATATGTAGTAGTAGTTTCTATTTCTGTTAATGAAACGATAATAGTCTGACTAGTTATATGCCCAGCCGTCTTTATATACTTTCCCTAATTTGATCCCGGTTCCCATTAAAGCTGATTATACTCTGACACATAATACGGATTTGAGTCCGGGGACTGAACTCGAGACTATTGTGCTAGCAACTGTTCCCTCTACACCTTGACCACTCCATCCCATCACAAAGGCGTTAGTCGCCGCAAACGGCAATAGAGCAAGTATTTTTTATAACAATGTATGTTTAGTGAAATCATAACGTGTGATACTGTCACATGACTTTAATTCATTAAAATCATTACCGTCCAACTGATCAAGACTTTATGGTTAATAAATAATAATTAAAATTCTTACCGTCCAATTAATTTATATCCTTACCGCCCAATTAATTAAGATCATACCGTCAAATTAATTAAACTAATTACCGTCCTCATCTCCAGAGTTCCAGTCGACACCTCGAGTGACCATGACACCATGGGAGATACTTCGGACCGGAACTTTCCGGCTTGCTGACCGTGGACCCACCTTAACTCTGTGGTTTAAAATTGGGAGGACTGGTTAGAAACTAACATTTGTAGAGCTTTACATCAGAAGATATTGGTGCAGGATATAGGAAACATAAGTCAGAAGTGGTTCAATTTAAAAACAAACAAGCAGTTCTTGGGTGTAAAAAATGTCAATGTACACAGTATGTATGGACATGTGAGAAGTCGCACAGTCGTAGTAAATCTGAGATCTGAATACTTTTCAAAGATATACCTGTACACATGTACACATACATTTCTGTACACATACATACTTACACATACATACACATTTACCTGTACACAAACAAACATGTACTCAGACATACCTGTAAACAGACATACATGTTCAATACATGTACACCATACCAATACACATACATACATGTAAACATACGTACCTGTACACAGACATACCTTACACAAAAACACAAGTTCGCCCATATACATGTACACAAAAAACACGTGTACACAAAAAACACCTGTACACCCGCATACTTGTGCACATATATCCGTACACAAACATACTGTAAACAAAAAACACCTGTACACAAAAAACACATGTACACAAAAACACATGTACACAAAAAACACATGTACACAAAAAACACCTTTACACAAAAACACCTGTACACAAAAACACCTGTAAACAAAAACACCTGTACACCCAAATACCTGTACACAAAAACACCTGTACACACAAATACCTGTACACCTACATGCCTGTACACCCACATACCTGTACACAAAAACACCTGTACACCCACATACCTGTACACAAAAACACCTGTACACACAAATACCTGTACACCTACATACCTGTACACCCACATACCTGTACACAAAAACACCTGTACATCCACATACCTGTACGAGAACGGGGTTTCTATCCTCCAGAAAGCGTGATCACGATCGTGCTTATCGCCCATGTAGCAGCTAAAACACAGGTCGAAGTTCTGGCAGTCCAAGCATTTCCAGCGGATACCCCGGATGTTACTGACGTCACAGTGGTCACACGTCACGGTAGTGTGGACACACTCTGTGGGGGCAATCACAACACGGTGTCACTTTGGTCACGCTAGTTTGTACACACTTTGTGTGGGAAATTACAACACGGTGTCACTTTGGTCACGCTAGTTTGTACACACTTTGGGGGGGGGGGGGGGGATTTACAACACGGTGTAAGGGTAGGCATCTCTTCACGGGACCAGCTACACACAACACACACGTAAACACACACAACACACACGTAAACACACACACATCACACAACACAATTTCTCACACCTACACACATATACAAATACTAACAACATGTACTTTATTCGTGCTTTAACCGCTCAGTACCATAACTTCCCCATCCATCTCCCCCTCACACACAATTTAAAACAACTCGATAGACTACAAACACCATACAGCGTGACTCCCACATATAAAATACGAAGCGTCTAGGCATACTGATCCTCAATGTTGGAGGCAAAAACATTGCCATTTTGTAGAATGTTAAATCTAATGTTTAATCTTCTGAATAGTTTTATTTTATTTAATCAATTTTAGTGATAAAATTAAGACACAATGAAATGGACCAACTGACACTCTTCATAATGTGTTCGGGGAAAAAATTAACAGCACGAAAACGCAGAAATAATTATATTGTTTGCGTGTAAAAACAAGTTAATAAAAAGTCTAGTGACAATTTAAGCGCAATTTCCTTAATTAATTTTTTTGTGACCGAACGAAAGGATATTTTTGAAAACTTTCTTCGGCAATATTGTTCTAAATTATGGCAGGAATCGATTGGTAAATGTTTCAAGTCGCTAAATGGTCTGGTTGCTGAGATATGGGCCAAAAACTGCATTTTTTTCGAGGTTTTTTTTTTTGGCTTTTCCGGGAAATCCAGGAAGGAATTCCGGGAATTTTTTTGGCCCACAATCATCCTCGGAACTTGCTTAACATATTGCTTCGTTGAGGAGGAGGTACGACTTAAAGCTGGGGACACACATCCATCCAGAAATGACGAGTTAATAATCGCAATTCCTGTAAGGAAATTGCGCTAAAAATACATGTTAATTATACTATACACAATATTGGAGTTGTATTTGGGTAAGAAACAGAACAGCACGGTAACTATACCAGCCGGGGCGTAGGTGCGCAGGTCAAAAATTCCATCATGGCCGGCGTTGTATCGATGCTGGACGTTGGGCGTCCATTCAACCGTGACAATACCGTCTGCTGCTTCCTTGACGGTACCCACGTGACCCTCTCCCCCGTCCTGGTCGTCATGGCGCCAGTCGGGTCCTCTGACTACTAGAGTTCCTGGCTTAACGTCTTCTTCTAAAACTTTGGGCGGGGCTTCGTTCTGGGAACCAAAGAAACACATTTCAATGAAAAAAAATAATTTTATATTCGATTATCATATACATATTGGTTTAAAGATATTTTCTTTAGCATTAAAAATAATCATCAAAAGTCTTCGTTTATTTAATCAAAACGTGTTTATTGAAGCTGCGTAACTCTTGATATCTTCCCTTAATACATACAGTACCTCAACTGCAAGTATCATCAATTTTACTAAACCAATGACGAGTTTGGCTTTGCTTTATCTCTCTATCTTGCTTTTATGTAGTAATTGTGACGACGTTGGATAGAACTCATGGTTTTAATTAAATTATTTCTTTAAACTAAAGGAAACCCCCGTCCCCATGAAGCATACAGCCTAAGTTACCTAATTCAACGTAATCAAGTACTAGCATACAAACACAACTTCTGAACCTATACCAGGGGCGTAGCGAGGGGGGGGGGGCGGGGGGTGCGGACCGCACCGGGTGACACCATTTAGGGGGGTGACACCAAGGCAAAAAATAGCAAAATATATAGAGAAAAACTTGAGGGGGGTGCAAATCGAAAGTTTGAGGGGGGGTGCAAATCGAAAACTTGAGGGGGGGGGGGGGGGTGCAAATTGAAAATTTGAAAGTTTATCCCCGGGAAGGGTAGCTACGCCTCTGGGGGATGACACCATTAAGTACCGCACCGGGTGACACCCGACCTCGCTACGCGACTGACCTATACAGTGTTCTAAACCTCGATTTTCGTTGACTTACGTTTTTATCCGTTTTGGCTTTCGTCGAACGTTGTTGTTTTTTTGTTCAAGCTTTGTTGATAAGCTATGTTATTTAGTCTTATGATGTATTCTTTTTTTATTTAAGTTTGTTGTTGCTTTACTATTAAAACTAAATTTATTTTTAAAATGCGTTAAAGATGTTTATTTTGAAGGGCTAAAAACGATGTAGGGTTTGTCTTTTGTATGTAGGTCAAGTAGTTGCTTCCGATTTCTTTACTTTCGGATTTCATTTCGGGGGGCACATTTTCAAGATAGTTTAAACAATTTTTGTCTTAAAGAATTATCAAAAATGATCGAAAAACAGAAAAGGTAGAGTTTGTTCACTCAACCGGAAGGACTTTACGTCCCCAAAACAAAAACGTAGCTGACATCAAACCAATTGACTCAGAGGGGCACCTTTTTTTTAACATGGACAGATAATGTGTTGGTGTTGTTTTTCTATTGCTGACTATCCATACTTTTTAAATTATTTTATCCTCTTAATATTTCTAAAATTATTTGTTTTTAATTTTTGTAAGCAAAATTAAGAAACTATAAGGACACAACTTTATTTTTAAAAATGAATAGATTTGCATTAATACTGACACTCATAACCGTTGATTCTCTTATAAACAATCTTTCATTGGCTTTTGAGTTGAAGAGTATTGCTTGTGTACTAAACTGTTCTAGTCAATGTTCTGATCTAACAAACAGAATATTTTGTTTTTAAGAATGGATTAAGTTGCTTATTTAGAAATTAATAATGTATTACTATATGTTAGCATTTATTGTAATGGCTATCTTTATATACAGCTTATTCTCACTAAACTGTTAATCAGCATTTAATAAAACGAAAAAAAAAGAAACTCGAATTTTTACTTTTTTTTATTTTTAATAACTACAAAAACATAATTGTTAAAATATTCCCTTCACTGAGTCCAACTGGTTTGATGCCGCTGATGTCAAACATTGAGTCACTGAAATATGGGGATAATCAGTCACGAAAGCACCTTGTACAGTTATACACAGTGATAAATAAAGCTAATAAACAGTTCCAACAGAGCTACACACAGTAATAAATTGAGTTAATAAAAAGCACCTTAAGCACGTAGAAGAACTACACACAGTGATAAATTGAGCTAGTAAACAGTGTTTCTTCCAGACTTTTTTCTCCGTGGGGGGGGGGGGCACTAGATATTTTCAGGGGGGGGGGGCGGTCAACATTTTTCGGGGGGGGGGGAGGGGACACTAGTAAAAGTGTATGTTTACTATATAAATTTCATCTCGTTCGGGAGGGGAGATGCCTGGAAGAAACTGTGCTAGTAAACAGTCACTAAAGCACGTTGTACAGTTACGCACAGTGAAATTGACCTAATAAACATTCCCTACAAAGCTATAAACTTGAAGGAGTTTGTCGATTTAAAATAGGTGGTGCCCGCCACCCTACCGATATTTTAGAATGTGCTCTAGAGTTAAAAAAGGTTGGGAACCCCTGGATTGAGCTAATAAACAGACACTAAAACAAAGCATGTTGACGAGTTAGTGCAGTATTATGTACAACATAAACACACATTCAACCAGTGGTTATTAGACCCAGAAGATGGAGATGGTTGGGTCATGTGCTGGGAATGAGAGCAGACACATTGGCTAGGACTGCTCTCAGATGGACACCACAGGGCCAAAGAAAACAAGGACGGTTAAAAGAAACATGGAGACGTTCATGGAGAAAGAGTTGAAGGAAACAGGCCTAACTTTCCAACAGACAGAGGCTACAGTACAGTTAGATACAGGATGAAGTGGCAATCACTTGTTGATGCCTCGTACACTTATGGACGTTGAGAGACGATAATAACGTGTAGAACGTAAATGAGAAAATGATTAGATTAACACTGAACATGATAATACAACAGTGATGCGCCTATATTGCAGGTTAACCCACGCGGACAGGATTAGAAATTTTTTTAAATATTGTACCTGAAGTGGAATAGGTGCGGCCGATTGTGGTGGAGCAATTTTGATATCTTTACCTGAAATAGAAATCAAACTTAAGTTATAACCTAGAACACTCGCACACGCACAGTGGATTCGCCTTGTTAAGATGAGTTGTCCCTCACACAAATTATTCACCTACTGTAGCTATTGTTATACATATGCAGTATACTATTGTGGGAGCTATAATTGCCCATCGTCCAAACTTGTAGGAGAGAGAGAATTTCAGAGATGAGGGAGAGACTCACAGTGTTTCTTCCAGACTTTTTTCTCCGGGGAGGGGCGGGGTGGATTAACATTTCTGGGGGGGGGGGGGGACACTATTAAAAGTATATATTTTCTAAATAAATTCCATTTCGTTCGGGGGTGAGGGCGGTAGACTCTCTTCGGGGTGGGGGGGGGAGCCTGGAAGAGATGCCTGGAAGAAACACTGGAGACTCAGACTTCAGAAAGAGATAGAGAACGAGAGAGATGACATAGTAAGCAATCAATGACGCAGCTTTAATTACTTCTAATGCTAAGTGGTGACTTTGTGTTTTATATGGGCCAATTAAAATTCCATCAATCTGGATTTTCCTATAATGTTCTACGAAGTTTTAATGGCATAAAAAATTATTAATTAAACAAACAAAATATTGAAACAAATAAAACGAATTTAAAAAACTGCTCACCTAGTACAGGTAAATGTTAAACTGCTCACCTAGTACAGGTAAATGTTCCTGGTAAAACTCGTCACACACGTTGTACACGTCGACCCCGTCCCTCAGTAGAGCGATGTCCTTACAGGACTCCTCCGTGATCCCGTGGACAGGACATCTCTGCAACTTGGGGACATTCTCCAGCTTGTGCTGACCGTCCACTGGGGAAATGGAACACATCAAGCATTTGGTCTTAAGGTTTTAAGTAGGTACATTCTAATGGCTCGCCACATCAAGCATTTGTCGGACTCAGTCATGGGATCTAAACACATCAAGCATCTGTAGGACTTCAATGTCTTATGTTTTAAGTAGGTACATTCTAATGGCTCGCCGCATCAAGCATCTGTCGGACTCAGTCATGGGATCTAAACACATCAAGCATCTGTAGGACTTCAATGTCTTATGTTTTAAGTAGGTACATTCTAATGCCTCGCCACATCAAGCATCTGTCGGAGTCAGTCATGGGATCTAAACACATCAAGCATCTGTAGGACTTAGTCATAGGATCTGAACACATCAAGCATCTGCCGGACTCAGTCATGGTCTTATGTAGCTACATTCTAATGCCTCGCCACATCAAGCATCTGTCAGACTCAGTCATGGGATCTAAACACATCAAGCATCTGTAGGACTCAGTCATGGAATCTCATGTTTTAAGTAGCTACATTCTAATGGCTCGCCGTGATGGGCGGTGGGGCTGGACTACTCATGAGTTCACCTGATTCTTAAGAGGATTTGTTATAAAAGACTTTCAGGAGCTCGCTTCTACAGTAGGCCCCATGTTTGGCATTTTACTGGACATGGGGAGGGGGGGGGGGGGGGTTAGCGATGCAGCAACGTTGTTACAATCAGCGGTAAATTATGGCCAAAATTGGGGTAAGGCACGATAAACTTTGGCTAAATGTATGGTGATAACAGCGGTAAACTTTGGCTCAATGTTGTGGTCATACGCTGATGACAATATGTCACTATCGATGTTTTTGAACCTAACAGACAAGGCCAGTAAAACATCAGCTTTACCACGCCTTGATTTAACCAAGAACATGGTAATCAACTTGTCAGATTTCAAGAAAAATAAACTCGTTGAAGGTTTTTAAAATCCCCTAATTTGATTTTGCAAGTTCAGTGGTGTTGCTTGCTCCGATTGCACATGACTTGATGAACACAAATGTCACGTGACTTGATGAACACAAATGTCACGTGACTTGATTAACACAAATGTCACATGACTTGATAAACACAAATGTCACGTGACTTGATGAACACAAATGTCACGTGACTTGATGAACACAAATGTCACGTGACTTGATAAACACGAATGTCACGTGACTTGATGAACACAAATGTCACGTGACTTGATAAACACGAATGTCACGTGACTTGATGACCACAAATGTCACGTGACTTGATGAACACAAAATGTCACGTGATTTGATGAACACAACTCACCACTTTGCTGATCCCGCCAAGCCCGAACTGATAAATCCGACAATCTTTTCTTGGAATTCCTACTTTCACTTCGAGACGTGACGTTAACCCTGTGGGTGTAAAATGTAATCAGACATTCATGTAGGTGGGTAGGGAAGGAAAATTCGGGAAGGGACGAGGGACTGTTTTCTAGACATGAGACCCTGCAAGATTAAGTAGTGAAAGGATTCTTGCATACTTGTGTTAAGATGATTAATTTTTATAAACTTTAATTTCATGAATTTATTTAAGGCAATTTTAAAAGGTAAGCCAAATATAATATTTATGTTACGAAAAGAAAAATATGTGAAAGTTTGTATATAGCCTGAAGTTGAAAACTAACCATATCTTTATGAAGGGATTTATAAATCCTCAACTACCACTCCCCTTATAGCTCCTAAATAACAATATACACTTATGATTCCGGCCCTGGTTACAACATTTCCTACTCCTGTCGTCCTGAAAAAAATATAAAAATCTACGCCCCTGAAACAAAATATCCTCCAGTTTCCCCCTTTTCCTTCCTTCTTCGAACCTGTCGTTGTCTCCGCCTCTGATATGAGAGTCCCCATACCCAGACCGTCCGTGAAAAAAGTCTGTCTCCGCCCCTGATATGAATAGCCCCATACCCAGACCGTCCGTGAAAAAATGTCCGTCTCCGCCCCTGGTATGAGAGTCCCCATACCCTGACCGTCCGTGAAAAAAAGGTATGTCTCTGCCCCTGATAAGATAGTCCCCCATACCCCGACCGTCTCCGCCCCTGCACATAACGTACCATTCAGTGTCCGGCACACACATGCGCTTGAAGGCATGCGACTGGTCGTGGCTGTCCTTCATGTAGCAGCTCGTGCAGAGGTCGTGGTCCTCGCACGTGCGACACTTCCACCTGACACCGCTGATACATCTGGACTCGTTGCACCCGTCACACGCGATGTAGGGGTGGACGATGCCTGAAATACAGGGGGTGGGGGTGGGAGAGTGGTAGAGGTGGTGGATGCCTGGAATACAGGGGGTGGGGGTGGTGAGTGCGGTGATTATGATGATGAGGCGTTGCGTTGGGGGTGACCATGGGTGTGTTAGAGTGACCATACGTGTGTTAGGGTGACCATGGGTGTGTTAGTTGTGGTGACCATGGGTGTGTTAGGGTGACCATGGGTGTGTTAGGGTGACCATGGGTGTGTTAGGGTGACCATGGGTGTGTTGGGGTAACCATGGGTGTGTTAGTTAGGGTGACCATTGGTGTGTTAGGGTGACCATGAGTGTGTTAGGGTGACCATGGGTGTGTAAGTTAGGGTGACCATGGGTGTGTTAGGGTGACCATGGGTGTGTTAGTTAGGGTGACCATGGGTGTGTTAGTTGAAGTGACCATGGGTGTGTTAGGGTGACCATGGGTGTGTAAGTTAGGGTGACCATGGGTGTGTTAGGGTGACCATGGGTGTGTTAGTTGGAGTGACCATGGGTGTGTTAGGGTGACCATGGGTGTGTCATTGGGGTGACCATGGGTGTGTTAGTTGTGGTGACCATGGGTGTGTTAGGGTGACCATGGGTGTGTTAGTTGGAGTGACCATGGGTGTGTTAGGGTGACCATGGTTGTGTTAGTTGGAGTGACCATGGGTGTGTTAGGGTGACCATGGGTGTGTTAGGGTGACCATGGGTGTGTTAGGGTGACCATGGGTGTGTTAGTTGGAGTGACCATGGGTGTGTTAGGGTGACCATGGGTGTGTCATTGGGGTGACCATGGGTGTGTTAGTTAGGGTGACCATAGGTGTGTTATGGTGATTGTAGGAAAAAAAAAGTCACAGGAAAAAAAAAACACAGGAAAAAAACACAGAAAAAAGTCACAGGAAAAAAAGTCACAGGAAAAAAAGTCACAGGAAAAAAAGTCACAAATATATATTTGCATGGGATTTGTTAATACTTTTATGTATTAAATATTCAGAGGGTGCAAATTAACTTAGGATTAATTAAATGTAATGTAATGTGTGTAGGTTGTATACTCATAGTAATTTTTATAATTCATCTAAAAATATTTAGTATGAATTATGTAGATTGTAATTATGTTAAACTTAATATTTATAGCATTTAATTGAATGTCCACGGTTTTCGTGGGTTTTTTTTTAAATTAAATTACCGTGAAATGATAAGTTCATCTGAATTACTGCCCTCAACTCATCGCAACAATAGTTATGCTTAGTTCAACCACCTTTACTGCCCACAATGATCACGCTCATTACATAACAAAATTTAGGATCAAAACAGAAAGCCGACAAGGTTCAAAGGCTGTCATTGACGCATAACGTCAACAACACAAAATATGTTCGGACAATGCCTACTGAGGAGAGGCCGACCAGAGAATAGCCTACGGCAAAATGTGCCTAAATTTCTTTTATAATTAACTTTTCTACCGCGTATTTAACTAAATACGTAACAAAAGTTGATATTGTTGTGTAAATTATCTTAGAGTATTTTTACTCACAACTTTTTATAAACCATAATGCTTTTAACGTCTATAAATAATTTATGCTATCAAAAAATACAACCCACAACAATAAACATACAAAATTTTACAATTCTTAACAAATAAATCAAAATATTTCTAAAGAGAATTGTGTGACTTTTTTTCTGTGACTTTATTTCTGTGACTTTTTTTCTGAAAAAAATTTTCCATTGTGACTTTTTTTCCGTGACTTTTTTTCCTAGCAAAAACTGTGACTTTTTTTCTGTGTTTTTTTTTCCTGTGACTTTTTTTCCGTTTACCGTTATGGTGACCATGGGTGTGTTTGTTGGGGTGACCATGGGTGTGTTAGTTGAGGTGACCATGGGTGTGTTAGTTGAGGTGACCATGGGTGTGTTAGTTGAGGTGACCATGGGTGTGTTAATTGAGGTGACCATGGGTGTGTTAGTTGGGGTGACCATGGGTGTGTTAGGGTGACCATGGGTGTGTTTGTTGGGGTGACAGATAATATTAAAGTACGTAAGTAGATAATCGGTGAACTTTTATTTTATTCAGGCTTTTTTTTAGAACAGATGCCATATGTGACATATAGAACAAAATCATTATGTGTCATTTAGAACAGATGACATTATGTGTCATGTAGAACAGATGCCACTGCGTCATATAGACAGATGACATTTGAACAAATATAAAGCACATCAAACTATGATCAAACACCCAACCGTGGGAACATAACTCATACAAAGTCTATCAAATAGCATTGCGACTATAAGTCAAGGGGGAGGGTATCACTTACCTATAGTATCCAGCACCAGCAACTCGTACGCTCCGTCCTGGTCAGGTCTGTAGGTCTCTCTCTCCCCCGTGTCCCACTGGACAATCACGTGATCGTGGCTCACGACCTCAACAATACCTGCATGAACTTGGTCCTGCCGCCTACCATCTGACGTGGGAACCACGATGAAACCTTTTCCTGTTGTCATCTTGTGGACAGTAGGCAAGATTTTTTACTGCTGCAGTACTATCTTCAATGGGATTTTCTGTAGATGGCGTCACACTTGATCTCAACTTCTAGAGGAATAAATTTAGCGGATATAGCATATATTAAGGGGGATCGGGCGGTTTATTATTTTGTTAGATTATGTCATACTGGTAAGATACAAAATAAACCCATGTTTATATCTTCGGTTTTTTTTTTAATAATGCGCCTCTTGGAATACTTCGATGAATAACCTGTAATTGAAAGTTTCCCTTTCAAACCTGACGGTCTATGGGGCAAGTGAAGTAGAGTTCACTTGTTTCTGTGATCTCGGCGTATGAAGGGAGGGACAGTATGGTCAGCACTATGCCCAGTCGCCTTTACTTTCCTAACGTGAGTTAGGCACCCATTACTTGAACCCGGATTAGAATTCGAGACACACGGGTTAGCAGCCCAGCTCTCTACCACTTGACCACTCCGTCCCATTCTGTAATTGGTTTATTAAATATTTGTTTTGTAAACAAATTTCAAAGCTTTCAACGGTTTCTAAACAATATGTTAAAGTAGCATGACAACCGATTTTCTCTAAAACGATGTTAATCCTATTTATTAAAATGTATTTTTGGAGAAAAATACAAGTTTTGTAGTGGTTTGTGGGGAAGGGTTGGTTATTCCTAAAAAAAACTAGAAATCATATGAGGATTTGCTTATTTACTTATATGGAGTAGTGTGGGGGGGGGGGGGGAGGTAGGGGGGATGGGTGATTATTCCTAGAAACTTGATATAATATCGAGGGATTTGTTATTGAATCTCTATATTATTTTATATGGGTTAGAAGTGTCTCAGAGTGCCATAATGCGGCTGTTCTTAAATAGTGACAACCAGAGTTTCTTCCAGGCATCTCTTCGGGGGGGGGGGGGGGCGAAGCCCCTCCGAAAATTTTTTACCGCCCCCCCCCCCCCCCCGAACGAAATGCAATTTATATAATTTATATGGAAAATATATACTTTAAACAGTGTCCGCCCCCCCCCCGAAGAAAGTTTACCACCCCCCCCCCCCCCCCCCGAAGATTTCAAGTGCCCCCCCCGGAGAAAAAAGTCTGGAAGAAACACTGGTGACAACATAAATTACCTGCCTATGGTTAACACTTGTCAACAAGCAAACAGTAGGCCAATTACTACACGTATATGTTGAATCCTACGTTAGTTAAACTCTAAGTCAAGAAACTGAATATGCTAGAAATCAAATCTTGTTGTAAATCGGTTTAGCGTCGGTACCGTATGATAAACAACTGGTGTTATAATTGATTTTTTTTCTATTTCTAAGTGTAAACCTTTAGAAATAATTTAAAACTGTTCAGCTGGCAATTCTCATTTATCCCCAATACGACCATCGTAGGCTTCCATTGTATGTCCATGAACAAGGAAAGGCTAGAGTTGGTATCGCCAAATAGATCTAGACTTAAATCTAACTGTATAACTGTGTTGACAAGAAAAACGCTTGTTAATGGTGACATTGCAAATTTGAATATGCCCTCAGCGAATAGGCCTAAACCGTTTGGACGCCTGCCATTGAGTCATTATTATTATTATTATTTTACAGTAGAACCTATATACGTTATACTGTTATAGAGGGGAAAAAACAAGGCTTACCTTTGTTTTCGATACAATTATATTAGCCGATTATTAGCTTTATACATTTATATGATCTAGAGATCTTGAAATAAATAAAAACGAATTTTTTTTTAAAACGACGCAAATGGTGAAGTGTACTAGATTCTAGATCTAGATTTATAGAAAATGTCGTTATGGACTTAGATCTAGAAAATCTAGATCTATACCCTATGAAATTACGTGTTTTTGTAACTATAAATAAAAAGATGGGCGGCTTAAGGCTTAAACAATAAACAGTAAACGACAGTGCTGTTGTTTTCAATTTTATTCTTCGGGGTACGTAAATTAAATTAGCCTGGAATATTTAGTTTTAGTATTTAGGGCCGAATGATTTAAAACTTAAATAATATTTTAAACTCGCGTATCTTACTCTAGATCTAGATCTAGATATCTAAGTGACGTCTAAGTCTTATATTTTCTTTGTAAATGTGGACTAGAGAGCAAGTTCAATGGTTAAATAATAAATAATTAAATAAACTGTTAAATTAAAATCAAAACAAGACATAGGAAACTTTGTATTTTAGATACAACCTACAAAATATTATGGAATATTATTGTTACACTTACCCTTTCGGTCTTGAAATATGAATCTATAATAATTATTAATAATAGATCTAGATCTGGATCTAGCTAGTGTTTGGAAATAATTTTTTGCTTCAGGATGTCGTCAAAAAAATTATTCCCGATATTAATTGGGTAATTCCCTTTTTTAAAAAACCCACATTGAATTCCCGATTACTATTTTAAGAAATTCGGGCATTACCTTTATGACGTCCCCCTAGTCCACCCAGCTCCAATGGGTACCTGACTCACGCTAGGGGAACGAAGACAGCTGGGTATAGTGCTGACCACATTATCTCCCTATATACTAACACCCCCCTAACATTGAAACAGATTGGCTCTAAATCATCTAGTCCACTTGTCTTGGGCACATAAGGGAAAAAAATATGATGATGATGATTTTTAGAAACGTGCAATCACACTTTTTCCCGCTCTTTCACTATCAGTTTTCCAATGCCAATATTGTTGGACTACAAAAAAAAGCACCAACTAATAACGACTTCTAACTATCAGTATGTTATTATTATTCATGGTTTGTTAGGCCTAGAATGTAAATGTATTTATTTTGTATTCTCGATATTTAGTAGGCCTAAACAAATTACACTAATTTAAAAATACTCAGTATAATAGCAATATTAATGCATATGTTACTAGTTATTATAAAGCCTACAGGCATGTATTATTACAACAAACTGAACTCAATATGGTGTAGGTAGCCTACAATCTCCACATTTCTTACTTACATACAAAATTCTGTAGGCCAGAGCACTGGGCCATATTAAAATAAGGAAGTGCCCCTTAATAGGCCAAACACTTGAATTTTTTTTTTTTTTTAAATAGTTTTCTTCTACTTTCTTTTTAAAACAGGTAACACATGGGTAATATCTAAACTTTTTTTTAACTCAAAATATTCCATGATGATGAAGTATCCACTCTGGGTTCTTTGTTGTTCGAATACGATTTTTAATTTATTTCAATGAAGGTTCTCAATAAATAGGATTGCGGAAAAATGTTGTGGCCACCTATACATTTTCTTATTGTTAAATCCAGCCCTGCCTTAACTAAGTTTGTTATTAATGGAAGTTTTTAGTTTGTTTAAAGTGATATAAAGCATTCCATCTTTTTAAAAATGTTCTTCCTGTATGTTCAAGGCTTATTGCTTCATTACTGTGAGTCAGATATAATGAGTTATATAACTGAAATGGATGATGGTAAAAAAAGAATTCCACTTCTCCTACCAACAGACAAATGAAGAATTAAATTAAAGTTAAATGTTTTGTTAAACTTATAAAACTTGTAACTAAAGAATAATTTAAGCAGGTGATGTTGCCTTCTTACTTAGCACAGCTGTATGTTCTTTTATCAACAAGAATAATGTGCTTATCTGTATGCAACATTCTAACAGTCTGGTCTTTTCTGTAAACAAATACGTTCTACCTACATTTTGTACACAACACTTGTTCAGAATATGGAATTTATTTACATCTTCATTAGGTACATACATACAATCATAAATAACATTTACAGTTGAGTGAAAAAGGATGCATAGCAAAACAAAGGGAGCTCAATCCAACCACAGTTCGACAAGCTTCGGTAACTTATATTCCCTCAGTGTGGTCAACCTTCAATGTTGCTCTGTGTCGGCAACCAAGCATTGCTTGCTAAAGTCTGTTGAGCAACTTGCTGTAACTTATTCATTTTATAACATACATTGACAGTGGTATAGAAAGATATACACTCTATTACTATATATAAATGCATTCATTTTTTCCATTTTATTTAAATGGAAAAAAAACCCACTCATTTCTGGCTTACTTGTGCTTAAAAAAATGAATCAAACGGTAAAGTTAAAACTACTTTACACATAAAAATTTAAAATAATTGTAATCATACAATCGGCTGGGAGCTGGTATTAACATTTCTTTTATTCACATTTCATGTTAAAATAGGCTTTTCTCACAGTAATATAGTTCTGACAGTTTAAAAATATTTACACAGGGTATTTAGTGAGAATTCAAGCCAAAATGTATTTTTTTTTTTCAATCCAGTTTTGAAGCCTGATTTATGGCACCATATTGCATTTCAATTTCTGGCAGTATAACTGAACAAATCTAAACAAATAAATACTCTAAAAAACATAACACCACAGTTAAAAGGTTTAGATGAGGCAGAGCATTCTACTATACACAGAGGACAAGAATTTAAAGCTAGTTAAGTACAAGAAGTCAGAAAGGGATAAATAACATTTGAGGCCTGACACTTCATAAATATGGGACAATTGGCAGGTAGTTAAAAATTGTAAAAGTCAATGCCATTTCTTAACAGGTGACATTAAAATTATAACAGTGTTTGTACGCAAGCTTTATTTCAACAGAAATACACAATCCTCTTTACAAACACTAAGATACAGATCAGCGGCAACTTCAGGAAGGGAATTTGAAAATTTCAACCATTCTTAAGCTTCCGCTTGTTTTTGGTTGTTTTGTTTTTTTAACCATTTGTGCCTTTCTGTTTTACTTGCTAAAACTTATACGTCTAAAACAAAAAAATGTGACTAAAAACTAAACTGCAATTTACAGTAAAGAAATAGCAGAACTAATAATGTCAACCTGTTTTAAATTTGCAATACAGACTCCCTAGTTGAAAACAGACTTAAATAGTAAGGTAAATTGTGTAGATGAACACACAGTGCACTAGAATCTAACAAAGATGTGGTCAAATTACTGACCCTGCCAGTGTGTGGGTTCAGACCAGCAATGTTTAGATCTTGTATATCAAACTCCATATGATGAAGCAACTCAGCATTCTTGAGGCTGTTAACATGGAATGATAATTAAAACTACCCAGTCATCAAAGACACTGCTGTTGATTGTGTAAAACTGTATAAAATAGAGCCTGTTTCTAAGCTTTTGTGTGTCAACTAAATTGGGACTAGTAGGATGAGGGTAATGCCACAATGATAGCTGGTCATCACAGATCACCCAACACCTGTCGCTGCTGTTCAATATTCACTCTGTGTGCTTTAGTCATGCAAACCATCACGCAGAAGCTGTTTCACTACCATTCAAGTTGAGTAGATCTGTTCCTACAATAGTGACCAAACAGTTACCATAGATGGGTGTCGTTCTGTGGCAGCTTGACCACCCCCACACCTCCCCCAAGCCTGCGATAGTTCATGCTACCAACTATTCTCCAACAGTTTTGTTCAGGGTCATAAATCTCCACTGTCTTCAGGTAGGTTGTCCCATCAAATCCTCCAATAGCCATTAACTGCCCATTGACAACAGCAAGTCCAACCTAAATTTTTAAAATTGGTTTTACAGTTTTAAAATATGAAAATCAAAACTGATATAAAATTATAAATGTGCTTAAAAAATGTCATTGATTTTCTCATTTATTTCAAAACAAAAACAAGATATTCTCTTTAAATTACAGTATAATGAATATTGATTTTATTTTAACTTTTATGCATTAAGGACTGGTGTTATTTATAAAATAAAGTAATATATAAGGCTAGGCAGTTAACTTAGAATTATAATAGAGTGACTGACCCCACTTCTTCTAGAAGTCATAGCAACAACTGGCTCCCAGGCATTTTTCTGTGGGTTGTACCTCTCAGCACTGCTGAGTTCTGTGGTGTCATCTCGTCCCCCAACAGCATAGATCATGTTCTGGAAGACAGCCACCCCCAAGTGTTTGCGCCTTGTCCCCATTGGGGCAACTGGTGTCCATCTGTTGTTCCGTGGATCAAAGCGTTCAACTGTGCACATTAATACCTCAGCATTAGCCACAAGTTACAATAAATCTCTAATTTTAAATCTTAAATGCACATATTACAAACAAATCTTCAACCATCTAAGCTTGATTTAAAAAAAAAAAACTAATTCAGTAATTAGGCTGCTAATCAGCCAGTCTATGGTGTGTACAGCCGAGCTCACAAAAATCTGTGAGCCCAGCTTTTGAGTAAACAAATGAGAAACAAGAGCAACTAATTAATTGATAAACCTGTATTGAGTGGACAAGTCCCATCACTCCCACCAACAGCATACAAATAGCCTTGCAACACTGCCACTCCCACTCCAAGCCTCCTTGTACTCATAGAGGCCACCTTTTGCCATTTATTTGTTTGTGGATCATATCTACAGTTTGAAAATTTCTTGTTTGTCAAATCTATATATAGGTAGTGTCTTATGTAATTTGTTACAGGATTATGCACGCCTACACTGTTATGAAAGTTCTGACCAACCTTTCAACATAATTTAAACAGGATACACCATCTTGTCCACCGACTGCATATAGGAAGTCACCAAGCACTGCTACACCCACACTTGTGCGACAGGAACTAGTTGGAGCAACATCGGAACTCCATTGGTTGGTGTGTGGGTCATACCTACAAAACAGATTTCATTGGTCGGCAGTTTTAGGCAAGATTTCATTGGTCCGCAGTTTTAGGCACAAGAACACACAATACTAGCAAAATAATGGTACAGGACACTCAATATGACATAGCAGATGTTACCTTTCTATGCTATTGAGGTATGACTGACCATCATGACCACCCACGGCATACAAAAGGTCATTGAGTACGGCCACGCCCACTCCACACCTTCGTTTACTCATGGGGGCAACCAGCCTCCACTCATTGCTGCCAGGGTCGTACTTCTCTACACTTGAGATGGCATCTCCACTACACCAGCCCCCAACTGAAAGTTTTTCAAAGTTAAATTAACAAAGGCATCATGACTCAACTAATTCAAACTTATTCTTTTAAATTGTCACTACAGGCAAAAAAGTTTCTTGGATATCAATTTCTTTATTGTATAAGACCACACTCCAAGCCCAATAGCTAGAAATCCTTATCAACTCCAGACCTCATATTTTAATAACAAGACATGTATTAACTTGATAAACTAATATAATTTTAAAAGCGTTAACCATCCTACCGGCAAACAAGACTTCACCACACTTGATAGGTTTCCTTGGTCTTGTTCTTGGCCCTTGCATGAGAGGGCGCTCTTGAGGTAACAACAAGTAGTTCTTAGCCTCGTCAACTAGATCTCGACACGCTTCATCACTCTTGATCAATAGGTCAGCCCCCACAGTACCCACCAGAAACTTGGGAGTCATTAGAGGTAGCCTGACATGTTGCAAAACCTGGAACAATACAACAACAAAGTAGGCTTCTCTTCTCAAAACACAATGACTTGTTTACAAAATATGAATGCATAGACAATAATTAACATTGCAAACGAAAAAAAATTTCTATCACTGAAAAATTAATTTAAACTACTTTAAACATGAAAGATAAAACAGACACAAACAAAAACAGGTGGGTTACCGTGGGTAAATGCTGTCTTCGTTCTTGCACATTATATTTCACCCAATTCATAATAGCATTATAGACCTGTTCTTCAGTCCGAACATTGAGCTCTTCACTACATATTATGTCTACTAGTTGATTGACAGGAAGGAGCATGAATTCTTCACTCTCCATTACCTGGAATGCAATAATTTCAAATCAATAAAAACATACAGGTATGTTTAGATCTAAACAGTAATACATAGGAATATTTTACTTTTCAACATAAACATTATTAACAAGATTATTACAACATCAATTTATTAGAAATTCACACATGTGCGTTAATCCTTCTGTGATGAGTTGTGATTTTGGAAACTTTCTTCCTAGTAAAATTTAATTACCTTACAGACAGCATTAACTAAGGAAATACAGTTTTAGAATTTCAGGTGAAGGTGTGCCAAAGCTAATGGCAGGTGTCATATATAAAAAAGTTTAAAAATATATTCACACAATCTGAATGAGTAACATAGTCCCTATACTGAAGCTAAACATATCAGAAAAAGGAGAATAATATAAAGTTGACATGTAACAAATACAACGAGCTCAGGTTTAATATGCTGAACAAATTTATTCTTCTTCAGCGAAGATGGTTTACTAACCTCCTGAAAATTGTGCTGTGTGAATTTATCTGCTATTCGAAGAAGATCTCGACATGCGTGAGTGTCAGCAAATGCTCTGATGCCTAGACAATTGGAAGGATCAAGCTGCCTTTTTAAAAACTCACAACACACATCTTGAATTTCTACAAGCTGTTCAGAAAAAAAAAATAATTAAAGATTGTCATTATAAAAACTTATGAAGTAATTCAGAATAAAGCTGATCAATTGAGTGCTTTAGTTAAAGATTTTTTTAAAAATCTGCTATTACTTAAATTACTACTATTAGCATCAATCTAAAACTATGCATCATGACAGTAAATAATATAAAATAACATTACCTGCAATAAACAAGCAGCTGGGAGAAGGGTCTGTACATTATTTTCCTCAACTGTTATGCTAGACGTGTAACAGAAATCTATTAGAAGTTCCATCGCTGTTTCGTCTATATCCTAGGGAAATAAAATATACTTAGCCCTATAAAATAAAACATACATTATCTAAAAAACTAGCTTTCATATTTGTAACTTCAGGAAAATGGTTTAGAAAAGAATAGGAACAAAAAATATGTACCTTTATAGTGACTTCCGTTTGACGGCTTTCTGCTAACTCCCCAGTGAACATGGCATGAAAGTAGGGACTGCATGCTGAGAGAACTACTCTGTGAGCAAAGATCTTTTTAGACCCGACTAAAAGAATGACATCACACAGCTCTCTGTGTTTGCGTAGAACATTGACAGTGTCCAGTGTATGTCTAGGATGTTTATCAGAGGTATATCCAAGCCTTGCAGGTGAGGATGACCGTTCCATAGGTGTTTCAAGTCGATTCATTTTCAGTCTGCTCATTCAAACAAACTGCCTCAATCATTTCATCTTCTCACTGTTTTAAATATATGACTCATTCTCTGATCAGCTGATGTTATAAGAGTTCCTTCTTAAACCATTACATACAAACTTTTAGTAAGTCATTAAAGAGACAAATCATAATTATTTCTGCAAAAGTGGAATAAATGTGTTAGATTTTAATGTATATTTTTTCAGTTTTTAAATAGTATTATAGCTAATTTCTAAACAAAAATTATAACTATTAAAAGCTGAAATATGTTTTAATGGAATATTGTTTTCTTTAAAAACTGAACAGCCAGCTCAAAGTTGACAGTAGCTTGTCCCCATTTAAGTGTACCAATGCTATAGTATATTTAGGCCAAGGCTATCCCCAGTCAGTTTGGAGTCGGTGGGGAATAGATGTACGAGGTCTATTCCAAACTGACTTGGAATAGCCCCAATTCACAGTTGGCTATTATTTCAAGCAAAATTCACATGGGAATAATATCTTACAATAACAAAAGCATTTGTCATCAATGAGGAGTAAGGTATAGACTAAGACAGCAGTACTATTTTTAAATTTATTGTGTTATATTTTTATAAGAAAAAGTATTAGGCCTATGGTTTAAGTTTAGGTTCATATCTGCTAAGTAGACTAGGTGATCAATTATGCACTTTAAATCTAAACTAATCAGGGCTTTTTTCTCTTATAAAACATCTAAGGGACATGGGTTTTTCCCAGCAAATATGCCCGCAATCACATCATAAATGGAAAAAAATTAATGGATGTAACCCTTTCAAGAATAACTGCTAAAAAATCAAAATTAGATAGGCCTAAGACAATGCCAAAGGGGCAAAGGTAGTATAATATTAAATAAGTAGGTAATCTATCGTTTTGGGTACGTAAAATCGCCCGCGGCTATTAATGTACGAAAACGTTACCTCATTGTCAAGGCTGTAATAGAAGTATATTTTGATATGTTTGTGTCAAATATTATAGATAAATGAATAATAAACCTAAATCAATGGCTAAATATATTAATATAGGCCAGAAATTAACTTTAAACATCAGTGTCTGCAAGCAAGATTTGCTATATAAACAGCAGCCATTTGTAAAATAGAGTGACTTCCGCCTGAATCTCGCCCTATAAGTCTTTAAAAATAAAACTTTAACAAGATGGCTGCTATAGTAAATGAGCATGGTTGCATCTGTTGGAAACATCGCTGGTGTTCATTTATTACTGAAAAGTTTTAATTCAATTGTTTAAAAACAGGTACATAAATGAAACAAGGAAACATTTTTGTATTTTTCAAAACATAAATCCTCCTCAAAATGTGAAATAATTATTAAAATTTAAGGAGTCACCTGTTTTTCACATTACTAGTCGCGGGCGATTTTACGTACCCAAAACGATAGATTACCAATAAGTATAATAGCCTATTAATAAAATTAATTAGGCCTAGGCCTAATGATAAAGACCTAATTAATTTTTATTAAGATATTTATTTTTAGGCCTACATCCAGCATGCCAGCCACACATAGTACATACTCATATGTCCACTAAACCACACAACTTCATACTCTATAGGGCGTTTTAACATTAAATGTATCAAAAACACTGAACAATTGTGAATGAATTATTTTATGATTGATTGTTGTTGAATTGAGAATTTGTTCAGTTCACTTTTTTCACCTCTCACAAAAGTTTGTAGTTAACCATGATTTTAGAATTTAGAACAACTTTTAGACAAAACTAAGACAGGATTAAACATAATAAACTATGTAGACTCTATGACTTGGGCCTTGAACTAACTTATAGCTAGACTAGTTTAAGATATAATCTAGATCTAGATCTAGATCTAGGTTTCTAGATTCTAAATCCAGACTCCAGTCTAAAGTTAGAAGATGTTAAAACAATAATCCAGTGAGCAATAGACATAAAATTTAACTTCCGGAAAGTTAAAAAAATACTTTTTTTTAAATGAGATAGACCTAAGCAAAATACTAATTTTATTTTAGTTTCATAAATATTTGCTGCAAAAAATTTATTATAAAATCTCAAGATTTTAAAAGTATACCTTTATTTTTTTTTAACAAACCTTGATATAAAATTAAAGTATGTATTCAATTTGAACTCTGCTATTTTTATTTGCTTATTTTTACAAACCTAACTAAACAGTTCAACCAATCAATTTTCTCCAGAGGCGGATGTTGTTTTTATATTGTTTATGTGGCAACCGAAAAGTAAACAGAAAAAAGATCACGTTTTTAATCTTTTTATGATAAATATTCATATTTTCTTACTAAGTATTAGCAAAATATTGTTACGAGCGTAAAATGTCAGCCACAGACGCTCACTCCGGTGAAGATGATGATGATGCCATGACTGATTTGCAAACGGAAAACACAACAGATGAGGATGATGATGCACCGGCCAACGCAAACACAGGGACAAGGATAAACACACCGACCATTACTGAGTTCAGTAGTAAACCTAGCACTATAATAGCAGGTGGTGGAAAAGTAGAATCAGAAGCCTTTATTCCAAACTCAAACATCGTTACTCACTGTATATACACTAATGATTTGGAACGCTTAACTAAGTAAGCTTTTTTTGTAAGTTTAGCAAGCTAATTGAAATTGCATGCCATATATTGATTATATTGGCTTTTTACCTACCAGTATTTAAGTATTGTACTAAGTAGTAAAGTACTATCCTCTGTCCAAAAATGTTATTAGGTTACACATTATCCAAAATTATATTTCAAGTATTTACACCATAAAGTAGATCTTGTATTTTTCCACTCGGTTGCGAGTCTTTACCCATGAAAATCTAGGTTATGTCAATTTGTTAAATTTTGTCAACTTTTACATGCAAACATTATACATAGCCAAACCCTAACCTAACTCTAATTATATTTTTTAACTTCCATATAGTTCTATGTAATAAACAAATATGCTTGCAATCACATCTGCGAAAAAGAAATGATGAACACACTGACACTGGTGAGCAGAGTTTCTTCCAGGCATCTCTGAACGAAATGAAATTTATATTATTTATATAGAAAATATATACTTTTAACAGTGTCTGCCCCCCCCCCCCCCCCCTGAAGAAAGTCCTCCGCCCCCCGAAAATTTCAAATGCCCCCCCCCCCCCCCCCGGAGAAAAAAGTCTGGAAGAAACACTGCTGGTGAGGTCAATCAATCCTGTTCACAACATATAAAAAATATTAAAGACAAAACCACAATGGGTTACTATACACTAGACTTAAAGAAATAGAAGGCTTGTTAACTGGAACAGTAACGTTTTAAAAACTATCTACACTTTTAAAAAACTAAACAAGTCTATTTTAAATAGTCTTCAATGGGACACACAAGAACACACACACCCCAGAATACAGTGGTAAACTATGATTCTACACTGAACAAATGTACACTAATGTAATAGAAACTTTTAGTAATAAGAGTACTTAAGTGAGCCATTAATTCACACTTTCAACAGTTTTTATATACCAACACAAAGACTTGAACAAGTGGAACAATGATCATATAATGGACAATATCTCTCATTACAAGGATGGAATTGAAACAATAGCACAGGTCAACAAGTACAACATTACCAAGCACACATATTTACTCGTTTTCTATAGTAATACATAAGGAGATCACAATAATTGTCAATAGTAAAACGTATTCACTAGTTACTACCACTGCATTATGGATTTCTGATTAGACAAGTACACTTACTGTTGTAGATCAATTTTAGCTTGACATTACTGAAATAAATTTGCCACATATTTATAAAACCAAAAAAAAAGTAATCTCAAATTTTTTGCAGCTGCTTTGACAACCAAAGCGATGCCAACAGGAAAGAAGCAATTGACAATTTAAACAAAAGAGACTCTGTTGGGAAAAGCCCTCTAGATATAGCAGCATGCCTGGGAAGAGAAGAAATTGTGGGATTACTTGTTGAAAGGGGAGGGGAAATAAATAAAACAAATTCTAAAGGTTATTACATTGTTTTATTTTTTTTATAGTAGCTACTTTCTATGAGCTAAGAAAAGTAAGCAATTTATCTGAACAGACTGAATTGGCATTGCTTTTAGTTCTATGTTAATGTGATACAAGCTTATATAAGATGAATTTATGTAGGCAATTGCTGTCATTTGTGGCATATACATTAGTAAATATTTGTAATTGCAGGATACACATGCCTACACTATGCTGCTGCTTGGGGTAGAAAAAATGTTTTAAAGATCCTCTGTGATAATGGAGGAGATTTACAGATTAGAACCATCCATAATGAACGTCCCAGAGATATAGCTATCAGATACAATCAAGAAGAATGTGTAAATTTTTTAGACTGGGCAGGTAAGCATCTAAATGCAATGTCTGTTGAACAGACTATAATATTGTATTTAACAAGAAACTACTTTTCTCAGTCTCTTTTTTAAAACAAGAAACAGTTAACAGATTAGAACAATTTTTAAAGGTAATGCATTATTGTTTTCACTTAGTTAACATTAACATTGTTGACTGTTTTTTTATTTCATGCAAAAACTGCAAACACTGTACTTCTTTCTGAAGTTTACCTAATTTTTAATTACTTGCCAGTATGATGTTTTCTAAATGTATTGTTTCAAATTTTTAAATTATAGAAGCCAAAAATTTGCTGCAAGATTCAATTATAGAGGCTCAGGAATTAATGAATGAACCCACAGACAAAAATGCCATTACTAAGCTTACAAGGGAGGACAAGGTTGTCTTTTTGTTTACTTTTATTTTTTTTAAAGCCTCAGTCAATTTTTTTTAATTTTGATAGGATTTTGTTACCTTATTTGAATGTAAACAAAGGTGTTTAGTATATATTTTTAAACATCAATTTTGCCTTTACTATGTTAGTTTCACATCACGCATACATCAATAATGGCCAGTAGGTCTACTTGTCTTTTTCATTATGTAAGTATTACATCACTGGTATACCAATAAAGAGAGGTATTTTTCTTCTTATTCATGTTAGCTTCACATCACATGTACATCAATAGAGGAAGGTGTTTGTCTTTTTCTTTAAAACAATATTTAGTGCATGCTGAGTTTTTTTATCATTTCAGTTCATTCTCTTAAACACTTGCAAAGAAAAGCAGGATTGGCTGATTAATAATTTAGAAGCTACCACTCAGGAATTTATAACCCAGAGGACTTCTTTTATAAACATTGTCACTCCTATTTTAAATAAAATTACAGATTCAAGTAAGTAAATATATAATTTCCTGCTATCTTCACACATACTTATTAAAAATTAATGTTATTTTGAAAGGTAGGAATATTTTTGAAAATCTTAAAATTTGCGCACAATAAAACAAATTAAACAATTGCAATTTTTTAGAGAATTATGTCAGTACCACATTTTGTTCAAGTTAATGTATAGCATGTATGTTCATAGCAACTCTGATAAGTTAATAATGTTTTTTTTAAAAATCAATAGATTAATTGATAATTAAAAGGTCTGAATATTTGTAAAGAACTTTGATTATAAAGGTAGAACCAGTTAAAATAGTTATATAATAACAAAAGTAAAGCATACAGAATACTAGAAAAACTCCTATATTTTATGATAGTTAGCTCAAAAAATACCAAACACCAATATGTTCTGTAGTTATAAACTTAACATTTAAATTTAAAATATATAACAAATTAGTTTTTAATGATATTTGTCAGAACAATTTTCTCTCACAGTAAAACCCTTATAACTTTTTAGCGCAATTTCCATTCTGGAGAATTGCGTTTATTAACTCGTCATTTCTGGGAATGGATGGATGAATGTATGGATGTATGAATGAATGTATGGGTGAATGTGTGTCCGGGCTTTAAGTCGTATCTCCTCCTCAACGAAGCAATATCGATGACTAGTTCCAAAAGCAATTATGTTAAGCAAGTTACAAGGATGAACATAGGCCATAAAAATTACGGGTTTCTTTCATGGATTTCCCAGAAAAGCCAAAAAACTTCGAAAAAAAGCAGTTTTTTGCCCATATCTCGGCAACCAGACCACTAAGCGACTTGAAACATGTACCAATCGATTCCTGCCATAATTTAGAACAATATTGCCGAAGAAAGTTTTCAAAAATATCCTTTCGTTCGGTCACAAAAATTTTTTTGAATTAATTAAAATTTGGACCGAATTAGTAGGCATTTTTTCCAACCACACCACACGCGTCATCACGTTCAATAGCTGCGCCATCGCGTTCCATGGCTGCGCCATCACGTTCAGTAGGCGCGCAATGGTTTTTAGTCATGTAACTCTATTGTAAATAAAACATGTAAAATACTGAAAAAAATTAATAAAAAACGTTTTGATAACTAACCAATGGTTTTACTAACCCTGCTCTTGATTTACGCTACGACAGAGCTATTTTTAGATAACATAAGGAAATTGCGCTAAAATTGTCACTAGCCTTTTTAATTACCTTGTTTTAATTATAGTTTTAGTGTTCTATTAATTTAAAAAAAAATAGAATGAATTTAAATTCAACGATTAATTTTTACCCATTAGGTCTAACAATCTTTTTAAGTATAATGCACACATTTTTTAAAAGTGTTATTCAAGATAACTATTCAATTTAATACTTTGAAAAATTATTGCTTGTTTATAGATTTAATGACAAATTTTAGATTCTGAGAGAATTTTTTTAAAAATAATACCATTGTATTCTTGCACACATATATTTTAAACATAAACTTTTTTAGCCTGAATATAATAGACTAGTTCTCTGCTAACAATATAGAATTTAATTAAATGCGTCAATTGTATTCTCAAAATGAAAAGGAAGTGGGAGTGATCTCCCCTAAACTTTCTGTGTTATCTGGCTATAGAAATATAGAAGTTTGTGACAAAAACGCTGCTTGAAAATTTCTTAGAATATGCTTTATAAGAATATGATATCATATTATAAAATTATTATATGATATCAAATTATCAAGGTCTCTGAGAAATTGGATATGGAGCAAAATACCCCATTACAAAGTACAAGTTTTTATAGTTTTTTGTGACAAAGGAAATAAAGTGAATAAAAATAATGTTTAAATATTACAATTATATAATATCAGACAGGTTATTTTGTATTGTATTGGAATTGATTAAAATGATTTGTTTTGTAGTAAATTACTCAACCATTTTAATTGAAAAATCCAAAAATAAATTTTCTGAATCTAAATCTTTAGATTTTTCTTTTTCAACTAAACAGGTATTATACATTGTACACAGTTTTTAAAAATGTAGATTTCATTTGCTTATTTTCGTTTCTATTATTAGGGAAGAACAGTCACATGCGGAGTGAATTTTCATCAGTTGCATCAAGTTTACATTTAAAATAGTAGCAAATTAAATTTTACCTTTTTGAAGGCATCTTTTTCAATGCAACTTTTACAACTAAAAAAAATTCTGTTACTTTTTGAAGTTTTTAGTTTGCATTTCAGTTTATTGTTTTTAATAAAAGTACAAAATACTCCAGACTTCACTTTCTCTATATTGCATTTTAAAAACCTTAATTTATTAATATTTTTAGTAGCAGATGCTGCCCAATTTCTTCAAGATAAATAAAATGTCTTTTCATATGCAATTAATCTGTGAAGTAAATTGTTTTTCCTATTCTGATTATTATAGCACAAGCTAAAGATACATCTGCTGTAAGTCAGTTTAATATGTACAAATTTACTTCCTATTTGTAACTGTATGCATGAGTTTTTTAAAGAACAATATAATTCTAAAGGATGCAGTAATAGTCATACTTTATAAATAAGCTTCCAGAAAGACTGTGAAATAACAATATAATTAAATGTATTACTGATCAAGTATGACATTCTGAATATTTTTTTCATGTAAACAAACAAGACATTGTGAGTTTGGGCTCTCAGCTCATGTATGTTTAATACAAGATAGCCAGATCTTTTTTTCTTATCTTCATTAGAAAATACTTCTCTTCCAGGTCCGTCCTAAAACAAGGCCAACCTCTAGCTCATTGTCTCTTTCTAGACCTAAATCTAGCAAGGTTTCAGGCAGTCCTTCCCTTGATGTAATGCCCATCTAATGCCTTCAGTGTAACCTTTACCCCTAACATTGTGTAGCCACCTTGAGTTTGATGTCATCTTTTGTAGATGTTAAGTTTTGTGATGAGAGCTAATGATTAACATGAATTTTTTACTACTTATTTTCAGTGTTAAAATTAGAAGATCATAGTTGTTTTTGTTTTTTTTTTTAAATATTGCTTCAGTATTAATATCCTAAGAAAGTGTGTGAATTCTTAATATGTGCAAACTGACACTTGGCTCATTACTTTAAAAAAAAATGCAAATTTCAGGTTGTAAAAAACAGTGCAAAAACAGACTGCACATTTAAGATTCCATCTTTGTAGTGGCTTTTTACTTAATATGATCTTTTTTATGTATCCTAACATGCACGAAACTAACCATTTTAATTTCATGCATAATTTACCATATTATTTTGGCAGGAGAGTGTTTTTAAATGTTTAATTTATATATGCTTGTGTTTGGGGCGCTGGACATACACAAGAAATGAATCTAGGCTTACCAGTACTACTAACTTAGGATCATCATGTGAAATATGTAGCTTTTGTTTTTATTAAAGAAAAATTGTTTTTTTTATTACAAAGTTCTTAAAATAAGAGTTTTTCAGAAGAATTATGAGAACCTTATTTAATATGAAAAAATTATCTAAATTGTCAAAAAAGATTATGGTAAGACATGAGTATCATGTCTAAAACATTGTTTAGTAGACACAAAAGAATGAAATTTTTGTAAGAAATTTAGACAATTAACAAAGTTTGGGGTTAAAAAGCTACATTGTAAAAAAAATCATAAGAAAATATTATTTTTAAATGTTGGGACATTTTTGTTGCCTCATAAATAGACATACTTTTGTCTCCCTAATTAAGCTTTTTGTCCTCTATATTGTTTTGGAGTGCAAGTGGTCATGGCATAAATATTTACTAAATAGGTGTCACATTCTTAACAGGGCACCTTTTAATTACAATTATGTAGCCTATATATAGGCCTATATATATATATATATATATATATATATATATATATATATATATATATATATATATATATATATATATATATATATATATATATATATATATATATGGAAAAAAAGTTAGTACACATCAGAAACCACACCATAAATAAAATGCATAATTAATGCAAAATTAAAACAGCATGGAAGTACAATTAAAACCAAAAGCATGAGTTAATGTTTTCTTTATATACTTTGATGATTAAAGGAGATCTGTTGTGCATTATATTTGTATAGATAGTTGCATAGCATCTCATCAAGAATGTGTTTTCATGTTAAGAGATTGTGTCAGGGGTTGTTTTTTTTTCATTTTTGCATGTTCTGATTTTTCCCAAAGGATGTTTTTATTACTATTTCTATGTTAAAATTTTAACCATTTAAAAATGTTTTGGAACTTTCTATTATTATTTCTATACATTTACATTTTAAGAAAATATTTTGTATTTAAAACATATTTTCCCAAAAAAAAAAAATTCAAATTAATCTTATAATAATTAAACACTTGTATGGTACTTATCATGTGTAATTAATGTTTCAGAAATTTAGAGCTTAATGGATGTTTTGCTCATCTAAGTCTAGTTTTAGCAATTCCTCTGATTAATCCTCTCAGATATTGTTCATTAAAATTTCATTGCATTTATTTCTAAACAGGCACAGAAAGGCAAGAAAAAGGTCAAATAAAAGGGTAGATATGTATTCAATTCTCCACTTGCTGATGAAACTCAAAATAAATGTAAAAAACATCTATTCAATTCTTTTTCTCTTTCAAGAATTGCATTTGTTACAATTTTGAAAGGTTCTCCATGAAATAAGTATAAGTGAAACACTTCAATTGGTGTACTAAAATAATTTTATAAAATTCAATTTCCTTGCCTAAAACCCATTTTAGTGTGCTTAAGGTACTGTTAGGGTTTAAAGAAATGTAAAATAAATAGGCATACAACTATTTTGATATAAATATTCAAAACAATTTTTTTTAAACAGTGAAGTTGGAAAAAATATTAACATATATTCAAAAGAATAACTTCCATTTTAAAATGAATGAAATTTGTAAAAATTGAATGTAATTGTAAGAAACTCTAGTAATCAGTATTAATCTGTTTTTACTAGAAACCAAAAATAAATACTTGAGTGTTTTACTTTTACAGAAAAAAAATAAAACTAAAGAAATAAAAAAATGTTTTGTCAAATATTTTATTCTATGTTGTGGCACAAAAATATAAATTAATGGCAAAAATACAATAATTTTAATTGTGTCACAATTTTCTTTAAAACTTCCTTGTAACTTCTAGTAAACAATAACTTAAAATTACATCTACAATGTAAAGTTAACACTTTAAATAAAAAATAAATAACAATTCTCTGATCAGTTTACAATAAATTAACTAGTATAATGTTTTAAAATATTTTAACCTAATCCCATCTACATAGTAATAAACAGTAGGCCATTTAGCAAAATTGCAAGAATATTAAAGTAAAAAAAAAAAAGAATTAATTTGTTCAAAACATCAGTGGCAATTGTAACTTTCTAAAGAATAATTTAAAACATAATGAGTTTAATTTGTAAACATCAATCATCTTTTCTATAAAAGTACATACATTTTCATGTTTTATTGTTTACAAAACATTTACTTCTTTTAAGTGAAAACCTACTTCCTAAAAGAAATTCAACTTTTATACTTAGCCTTTACAGGTACTTTTCATGAAAAACAAAAAAATATTTCTAAGATACAATGCCAAAATAAGACCTGAACGTAATCGTTGGAATTATAATCCATCATTGCATGAGCTGTACGAATCTTAAGTAAAAATATCATTTCCGATTACAGAACAAAGTAAACCATAAAAGTTTCGCCAAGAGTGACAAATTGGTGGGGAAAACCAGCAGTGTGGAAAATGACCGGATAGGGGGGAAGATGTGAAATATTATCTTTAAAAGAAAGAAGGACTACTTTTGCTTTGGAAAATTAGATGGCAGAGCTTTAGTGTTCAGTGGGTGGGCACCCTCATGCATCATGACAGATTTCTTTGTGCGGTTGTACCAGGGTTCTAGCTTTGTGTTGTGTAAGGCGTCATGGAAAGCTTCACATCCTTCTATAGAGTTGAGTACACCATATACAGCCTGCAGAGTAAAATACTGTCAACAACTGTGCTCATCATTGTGAGACCTAATCAATTTTTAGTGAATATTTAATTTCATTAACAAATAAATCGTTATTATTAGAAGTATACAGCAAATTTTTTTTTTATATTTAGGCTAAAATTCACAAATGTCAGGCCAATATATGTTTCAAGATTTGATAACAGCACTCTTAAAATTTTAAAACAAAAACAGATCTATATGTGTTAAAATTTGTAGTTTATTATATTACAAAAGTGATTACAAGTACTTTAATTCTTGCAACTTACTAAATCAGCCAGGTTTGGCTGGTTACCTCCCATGAAGGGCCTGTCCTTTCCAACAGCTTTCACCCATTCATTACAAGCATCATAAAGTGATTGTCGAACATCTTCCTTCAGTTTGTATCTACAGTCATAAAACAAAACATTTGATCTCTATGTGATAAGCCAAACGACACAAATTTGATACATCAGGCTCTTCAGTGGCGGTTGAAAGATAGGGTGAACAAGTCAGACCTGAAGGTGAATTCTAACAAAATAGTAAAGAATGCTGGTATGACATGGCTGAGGCCCTATGTTTCATATTGAGTAAAGAGGACTAACTTTATTGTCAAATCAAACAGTAGTTGGTGTGTATGCGACTCACTTTGTTTTAAGGATTTTTCCTATGAAATACATAACAGTTGCTCCTACATAAATGACAACTTGGCGCTCTAGAGTTGAGAAGTTTTGCTCCCATTCTCCAACCTCAGAGAAATACTTAAAAGCTTGAAGAGACTCTCTGGGCGTGCGATACGCATTTGGTGACAACATGTGCACCAGGTGGTCATCTGCCCACTCGCGCCACTTCCTCTCTTCCCTGTACAACAAAAATGTAAACACAAAACCAGATTAGGGGCGAGGGGTTAAAAAATTTTCAGTATTAAATTTGATCAGTATTAGTAAGTGCAAACTGAGTAAAATATATTATGGATAAAATACAATTAATACTAAAAGTTAAAAACAGTTTACTTTCTCTGGTCTGGCGTTGAGCTCAAATCTGCTGTCTCTTGAAACATAATAAAATACTTGTTGGGAAAATCATATTTTGTCTTCCTCCCTTCATTCTCGGTAATGCATGGGTAGTAGGAAGAATATTTCTCTAACCCAGTTGAACGATCGTGGAGGTAGGACTCTAACACACTAATAATCACAGAGCTGTCTACAATTTTCTGGAAACATAAGAGCACATTATTTGCTAGAAATCAATTTAAAACAAGTATAAACTGAATATTTGTGTTATAAAATCTTAATTTAGATTTGGGTAAGTGCAATATAACATTGTTTTCATACATAAAGACTGCATTTAGACATTGAAATCAAGTTGATATTATTTGTTTTGGATTAAATTTGCACTTAAAAGAATTAGTGAAATATGATTACCACTTCATTTTTAGATCCTGGCAACTGAACTATGAGAATAGGCACTTTTTTATATTCTGTCCACTTGAGCTGTTTTTTAGTTACAGAGTTCACTTCTATAACATCATAGGAAAAGCCATGGTAGTCCAGCACTGCTCTGACTTTGCAGCAAAATGGGCAAGTTTGGTACTGAAACAACATCAGCTTGAGACCGGAGGCATCTGTTGCAACTTGAACCTGATTGTTACAACAATGGAAGACATTAGTTGTAGAAATATATTTCAATAAATACATCTTCACCTGGGGTCAGGTTGAGAACATGGAACAGGACTGATGACTCTGGTTGGTGGCACATGTCGGGGGACGATCTGTCCGGGATTCAAAGGGTCGATTCTAGATATCATCCCTACATTAGTTAGGAAACGTAAAGGGCTAAAGACAGCTGGGAATAGTGCTGAGCATATCCCTTCATATTCCAAGATCAAGAAACATGAATTCTACTTCACCTGCTCTATGAATGGATTGTGTTCAGTTGATTCTAAATAAATATCATTCCTAAATGAATAAATTAAAATTAGGCCTATGGCTTACCTTTCTGGAGGGTGTAAAAGTAGGTCTTTCTCCATCCTTAGCATAAACTTTCTTAAATGTTTTCAAACCCCACTCATTATCAACAACAGAACTGAAAACAGAAATACTGAAAGCACCAACAGCAGCAACTGCAGTCAACGTTGCAGCTTTTAGACAGATAGATCTAGATTTAGATGACGCAAACTCAGAGTTTGTCGATCCTTTTTGCGATCCTCGACATTTGGACGTCGATTCTTGATTATGTAAGCGAGTGTTTCCAGTGTTGACGTCTCTGTTATAAAACAATAAATTACCATGTTTTACTTTTATACGGTTACTGCAACTGGGGTTTTTAGAAAAAGTAAAACTAAAGCCTCTTTGGGATACACTTGGTTTATCTGCAAAATTTTTAGGCCTAGATCTATATGGTTGCTGTAGATAGTTTTTATGCCAAATTATTTTCATAAACAATCGGTCTCTAATCAAGGGCGCAGCCATGTTTGTTTATAGCTTTATGGTGATTCGATAGGTATCGATATTGTACTTCTATTGATGTCCGACTACAAATTAAGTCCACACTTTTCAAGTCCACATTGTAATATATTTTAGCCACAACTACACGCAAATTATGTCAGGCTGTAACCTATACCTATCCCCTCCCTATTAGAGTCTCTATACTACTATATAACTCAAAAATATTAGGTATAGAAACTGTTATATAAAGAAGGGGTAATCCACAAACGAGGACACGTTTTTTGGAGGATTTTCACACACATACCTGATACCCCTCGGTCTCCCCACCGTAATAATATATCGTCACAAAAAGCCAGTCTACACCCACCCCCCCCCCTAAAATTACGTCACACCTCAGCCTACACCCCCGCCCTCAAATTCACAGTTTTTTTGTCAACATAGAGTAGGTCTACATATTAATCAACTTCTAATACAGTTTGCAAAAACATTTTTTTAAAGCTAAAGTTCATGCAGCTAGTATCATTACATTTTTAAAACTACAACAATGCGACGTCACACATTACTGAGCCACCACCCCCCTCATCATCATCACACATCGTCACAAAATTCCTACCCCACCCTTCTCCTAGAAATGTGATGTAATCAGAAATGAAAAAAAAAAAGATCGTGCACTCGAAGGCCTACCTAATATTAGCCCCCCCCCCCCCCCTCCTCCAATACTATTTGTATGGGTAGAGGTGTTTATAATTTATACTTTCTCGTATATACGAAGTATAGAGAAAGTATTGTAATCGTGCACAAAAATAACATGAAATTTTGACAGTTTTCACCGTTTTACTCCTCAGTCCTTCATCAAATCCGGAGTATAGAGGACTTATTTTAATCAGGCAAAATTTATAAATACAAATATATAAACATTTTGGCGTTTTATGCGTTATCGAGTCGTAAAAACTTGACTTTGCAATTCTGTCCGTATGTCTCTCTGTGTGTGTGTGTGTCTGTGTTTAAACACGATAACTTGAGTACCGTTACAGCTAGGTTGATGAAATTTCATATATAAGTATTTTATCAAAATCGTAGATCCTGATCAACTTTTGAGCGATTTCCGATAAACGGAAGTGGTACTTTTTCTACTTTGAATTTTTCAAAAGCTTATAACTTGAGTACTATTTCAGATAGATAAATGAAATTTCACATGCAAGTAAAAGATCTAATTCTCTACCTTCTGTCAAATTTTGAGTAATTTCCGTTGATTGAAAGTACTAATTTACGCTATTTCCGATTTCTCAAAAAACGAATGTAAATTTATAGTACTAATAATATTCCGCACTATTATGCACGTTTTATTTGGCGTTCACAGGTGTGCAATTCTTTTTTCTACGAGATTTTATTCTATTTCAAAAAGTTTAAGTATTTAAAATGGATTAAAATTCATGTCTATATCCCGAGTTCCCATGGGGTCATCCATTTATGACGTCCACACGGGGGGAGGGGGTCCGAAAAAAATGGACTTTTGCGGACGCGTGTGGACATTTATAAGGGAATTAAGTGGACTTTTGTGAACGGGGGGGGGGGGGGTCCAAAATCCAAAAAAAAAATGTGGACGTCATAAATGGATGACCCCCATCCCCTGTTTTTTTTTATAAAAGAATAATCGAGAAAGTTTAGGGGAGATCGCTCCCGGTTTATTTAGGCCTATTAATGTGTGATAACGAGAATTTATATTTTGGTCACTTTCTGCAACTATACGAATGGTTGGACGAGCTATGTTGAGACAACTCCTCGATCGATTGTTCTTACTTTCAATTACATGAATTAGCAACGTTTTAAATCCCTAATTACACGATTGTTTCTATTTTGTTGTAAGCTTATAGCCTATTAAAGTGGGTTGTGGCATGGGGGGGGGGGGGCTACAAGCTACTTAATGTATTGTTGATGTTGTCTCTGATATAGATGTGCGCATGATCATTCATGATCCATCCTAGTGAAAATGATCGAATCAATCTTTTTGGCGCATTATTTTTCCACTACCCCTTTTATCGGTGCATGTCGTTACAAATAGAAAAGAAATAATGTCGTACTGCTACATGCCCCCCCCCCCCCCTTCGTGTATTTTTTTTAATTGCTTATTTTATAAACTAAATTATATATATATATATATATATATATATATATATATATATATATATATATATATATATATATATATATATATATATATATATATATATGCTAATTATCGTACTAAAAGTATTTAAAGTTACCTAGCTTTCAGTTCAAAAGGACACTTTTAAATATACAATGGAGTGAAGTCACACGCTCTAAATTCCCCACCCCCTTCCATACATTATTATACAAGTTAGAACCAGAGTTTCTTCCAGGCATCTCTTCGGGGGGGGGGGGGCGAAGCCCCCCCCCCCCAAAAATTTTTTTACCGCCCCCCGAACAAAATGAAATTTATATAATTTATATAGAAAATATATACTTTTAACAGTGTCCGCCCCCCCCCCCCCGAAGAAAGTTTACCGCCCCCCCCGAAGATTTCAAGTGCCCCCCCCCCCCCCCCCCGAGAAAAAAAGTCTGGAAGAAACACTGGTTAGAACCCACTGCAGGTCCCACCTTCTTTCCATCCATGGACGGCTTATAACTATTGCAAAACATTTTTCAGCTACTTGCTGATTCCTGATATTTGTATTTCCTATTTAACATTTTTTTGCAGGTAAATTAGACTGGACCAATCAATTACAATATGCAGTGGGTATTTATAATTATAGAGGTTAGCCGAGGCTACCCCAGTCGGCCTCAGTGACCTTTCCGACTTTCGGTTCTATAAATAAATTTTAGTTTTCACGAAGATAAATTTAGCACAGTTTCGGTTTCCCAAGGAAATAGGCTTTCGGTTTCCGCATTCAAGAAATGCTACATATAAGGCTTGAGCTGCCTATGATTTCTAAGTTTCTAGGTAGTCTGCTTTAGTACAAGTTGTGATTTCTAGGTATAAGTTTGTACCTAGAGTACTGAGCTGGTCGTCTAAGAGAAAATTAGAGGAACTGGATTGCTGTGATTGATAACAACCTAACAACTACTGAACTTTCAACAAATCCGAAAATCGTCATTTACACTAATTTACAGTCTTCATTTCGACATTTGTTTTGACTGGGTGTGTACCTAAAAATAAAATGAAATATGAAATAATAATTATTTTTTATAAACTATTGTTTTATTTTCTTACTAGATAGATCTAGATTAGATCTACCTAGTGTATATTTATATAGTGATTAGTAAGTATAAAGTAAGTAGTTATATTAATTAATACTTAATTATTAATTAATAAGTAGGCCTATCTGTCCTGAGTATAGTAGTATAGTATAATTAATTAAATTCTAACCGAAAATAACTACACTGGCATGTTTGTAGTAGTTAACGTTCATTAGATCAATTAGTAGTTAAGTGTAGTATGTAGTATCATGCAATAGTACTACATTTACCTTTATGTAGGTTAAGCCAGGGTGAGAGTTTGTCTTGCAGAATCGTAGCTAATCAATACTGAATGTGTAATTTATTTACTTTTATCTGATATGAGGATACATTTTAATTAGCGGTATAGTTTATATATTTTTATTTTTATTACAGAATGGAGAACCACAGAGAATCTCGCAAACGCCTCAGACCTTGGCTAGAGAGAATGATCAACATGGGAAAATGTCCCGGACTAATGTGGGAAAATAGAGACGAGCGAACATTCAGGATCCCGTGGAGACATTTCAACAACAAAGAATGGGTGGAAGAAGATTCCAAAATTTTTAGAGAGTGGGCCAAATACACAGGAAAATACCAAGATGGAGACAAAGCAGAATACCCTGTCTGGAAAACTCGTCTTCGATGTGCCCTGAAGAAAATACCTGAAATTAAAGAAATTCCAGAGCTCCATAGAACAGAGGATGTAAACCCTTATAGGGTGTACAAGTTTGTTGATATACCAGTGATGAAAAAAGCCTTGGACCATGATACAGATTCCAACAGCGGCTTTTCACACTTTGGTAGCTCCCCAAATGGCAGAGACTACTTTGAAGAGTCTCAGTCATCACCTCCGGCTAATTTTCTCAATGAAAAAGCTGCAGCCCAACAGTCTGCTAATGTGCCTACAGTTGTGTATGATGAAGAGCCTCGGTATGACCCAAGCTTCAAAATGATTGAAAAAAAAGAAGAGCATTTCCTCCATCAATATCCAAACTATCATCAAGTGTATGGTAACTCTACAGACCAGGGTTTACGAATGGAGTACCAAAACTTTCATGTGAAGCCGCAGATGATTAGCACCATGGTGGAGCCAGCGACGAATTTTCCAAATGTGCACTCAGCCGCGGCTTTGAGGCCAGAAATCTTATCCCATCAGGTGAATACACAGGCGCCACCTGAGCATGTGCAGACAGATGTCAATGAAAACATGACCAGCTTTCCCTCAGACTTAATGTCTGTTGAAAGCACAGATCTGTGCCAGCTAGCCAATATGGAGCTGCCGCCATCCATCTGTAGCAACCAGAGTTTTGGTCCAAGTTTTGGGGGCTCAGCGTCAAGCCTCAATACTGAAATTACCTCAGGTTACGCTCCAGCAATGCAGTTGACCGTTGTTTACGAGTCACCAAACATCGAAGTAATGAGGCAAAATGTAATGGCAAATGGATGTCGGGTTTTTTCAGGATCTGTAGATATAAATACCAATTTAAATGACAAAGCTTTAGAAGAAACATTGTTCGGGCCTAAGGAAGCTACGCAGCTGAAACTGCCGAATGTTGATGAGTTCAATGTAAAGCCTGAACATAAACAGAACATCCAGGATCTCCTTGATAAAATGGAAAGAGGTATAGTTTTAACATACAAGGAGGGGGATATTTATGTGCAGCGCCTCTGTAGGACAAGAGTCTTCCTCACCGATGGTGTGTCAGAGAGTGCTCTTCTAGAGCGGAAGAATCACGCCCCTACTAAAGCTTTTGATCTGAGTAAATTCCACAATGCTTTACAGCAGCATGTAAGTGGTGCTAAAAAGGAGCTCCCGAAACCTTTCTTCACCCTCACCATCGGGCAAGAAATTAAGAAGTCCCACTACCAGCCGCTAAGTCGGATTCTGATTCACATTGTCGTGCAGCACAGTTACGCTGCCAGACTTCTCTCCAACCTAAACAATGCTTCGCTGACATCTGGCCAATATTTTTCATCTGATGACAACTACGACCAGATTGTTGACCAAGTTAAAAAGGTTAGCTTGACCTAGACTCCTAATTTTCTATGTACATTTCAACATTTATAATAATATATTTTTACAAATATTTTACACTATTTAAAATAGACTACCATTTATTTTTTTATAGCTTGAATGAGTTCACAATAGTAAATATTGATGATTATGTCATTGTATTGTGTGAAAGACGGTATTAATGTTATGCAAGTACTAGTAAAAGAACATTTTCAAATTTGAATGTACTTTGTACTCTATCCTACGTTATGAACACTTGAAGTTGATTTGAAATGAGATTACTGTTGTTTAAAATCTATGACTGTAATTTTAAAATTTAACTTAAAAAAAATAGATCTTTGAATAGTATAAAGTTTACCTACTTACGATATGTATATACCCTTTTAACCCAAATAATCCTTGGTGCAGATAAAGTAGAGTTTATGTTTCTTTAAGTTTGGCCTATGAAGGAATAGTGGTCAGCATTATGCCCAACCACCTTTACTCTTCAAATATACTTCCAAACTTAGAGAACTTCATGAAGTTCTACCAACTCAAGCTAATGGACTGAACTCCACACTTGGGTTTATTAATACTGAGCTCTAGCTCAGTCACTCCTCTCCCTTATTTCACTATTAATTTTATGCTGATTTTATTTTAACCCTTTATGTTTTTCATGTTGTTGATACCGTGTGATATCATATGACTTTGTTATAATAACTTTATCATGTTACTGTTGTAATTCTGTTTTTATACATGTAATCTTTTAAAACATTTAAATTGTTACATTGAATGTTAACCACGCTTTCATAAAAAAAAAATAACCGAGTGCACTTTGATTCTTCTTCTTCCTTTTCTTCTATATAAGATTTTTTTTGTTTAATTAAAATAAGTTTTAAAAAATGAGTAATGATTATTTTACACACTTGAATTTTTAAAATTTGGCAAGTTTTTATTTTTATCTTTTTAATATCACCTTAAAGCAAAAACGTTCCTGCTTACAATATCTATTATTTTGATAAAATATATATTATAATGTCGTTGTTGTATAGGCCTACTTTTGTTACTATTATTTAAGATGTACATATTGATTATTTACAAAATAAAAATTCTGCAGCTTCACTGAGTTTTGATTTAAAGTTAGATAACAGTTGAATAGCTCTGGAACTTGTGAGTGGGGAATCTATATTTAGAGTTTTCTGCAGACTTCTTCTTCGTTCTTCATTTTTAATGTTGGAAGGGATTCCCTCCAACACAAGTATTACATGACAACTTGTTATGTACCATATAGACCATTGACTCTGATTTCAGCCTTTTTAAAAAAAATTTCTTCCATACACTTTGTCCAACCAAGAACAGACTACAAGGCAGAAGTTGTTTGATTTTGGAGTTGTCTCTCCTTGAAGAGTTGCTGTTTCCAGCTATTAAGTGTAATCCGCCCGGGGTTCAAACTCAGTTTTCGGTTTAGAAACCATCAGATTTACCAACCCGACCACGCAGATCCCTTTTCAGCAGACAAATTTACCTGTTGTTTTAAAAACTTATGGTGATGTTTGTTGAAATATTATCATCAGGGAACAAATGGAGTGCCTTAATTAAGGTCATAGTAGCAGAAAAATGGAGGGGGAGGGGTACACATTTGACTACCTGCAAAAATGTCAACACAAATGTGCATGGCACTTTGCAATTTATTATTATTCTGCTTTTGTAATTTTCTTAAGGTTTTATGTCTGTTAACGCAAGTATGACGAACTGATTTCGAACAGGAAGTTTAAATACTTCAAGAGATAAAAATATCTTTGATTAAAAAAAGACAATTTTAATTCATGTAGAATCTTGTTTGTTGATTATACAGAAATCATATAAAAAGTGTAAGGTCATAATGTATACTATTACAAACTGTTGCAAGTTAGAATACTTAAATGTACCCACTTCCATAAAGAAACATACTATTAATAACAGAACAAAGAGCTGGAAAAAATGTAAATATGCAGATGTTGTGACATCATTTGGTTGGTTGTACTCAGTTAAACATTTTAAGTACAATTCAATGGTTTTACAATGAAACAATAAACCTTAAGACTTAACCGTTTACATGCTAAAATCATTAACCACCTTTAGAGCTAACCTGTCCACAAAATATTTCTGAAAAAATTATTTGTTGGTGAAAAAAAAAACAAGTAAAAAAACTGACAGGATTGTTAGGCTAAGCATTGAAAAACGAACAGTTTATTGTGTAGTTTAATAAACAATTTCTGCATTTGTGGACTCCTTTAGTTTACATAAAAGAAAAAAAAATGTTTTTGATTATAATGCCATTGCTGTATGGCCCCAGAAAACACTGAACATGTTTTACAAGAATGCATTGTGTACCAGCAGACAAGGCCTATAACTGGCCATAAAACACCCTGCTAAGTGAGAAATTATTGAACAAGCTATAATACCCTCCATTATTTACATATTAAGAACAAATAAAAAGAATAATGAAAAAATGCTTTACAATTTAGAAAAAAATATTTTTACAATTCTCATTCCTCAACTTTGTATGTCAGATACAGTAGAGGTCTAATGGTAGCTTATCATTGCAGCCAAATTGGGATTAATGGTTTGATAGATGTGTACTTAACCAGTTTCTTTACATGTGCAGGGTTTCTTTCAGAATTTTTTTCACTGGGGTTGGGTGGGGGCACAGTTAAAACATTTCCTGGATGGGGAAATGGGCTAAAGTATAATATTGTTTTCTATAATTTATAGATTTTTTTTCTATTCCCTCTGGGAGGGTAGACCTACTTCAGGGGAAATGACTGAACGAAACAGTGATCATGTGATTTTTATTGAGGTAAAGTGCTTTTTCAGCCTGATGTTCCTCATGGAAGGTGGTAGAGTATGTTTTTCTAAGACCATAATAATCATATGATTAAAGGTGAACCATAGCCCAAACCCCATGTACAATTCTGTCTTTGGGTCTGACATGGTGTTAAAATTGGACGAAATCAATCAGACAAATTCAAAATAATGAACAGCTACACTTCTTGACACCAGCAGTGGTTTAAGATAAACATACAGCATAAATTTACCAAACAGTATCTTCCAAGTTGATGTAAAGATCAGGAGTTAGAAGATTAAAATTGTTAAAGTAATATCACAAAAAAATAACCAAATTAAAATAAAACATACTCATCACGTGGGAAATAGACTTAAAATGATAAATATTCCTTAATAAAATAAATTAATTTCCACTAGTATAAATATAAATTTGGAATATGGGGTCATCCATAAATGACGTCACGCTTTTTTTGACGATTTTTACCTCCCCCCCCCCCCTCCCCTCCGTCACACTTCGTCACAAAAAGCCAGACCCCCCCCCCCCCCTAAAATGACGTCACACCTCAACCTACAGCCCCCCTCAAAATTGCAGTTGAATTTTTTTAAAACATTGATATTTTTCCAAAATCTTGTCTAAACTATTACAATTTATTAAAACAGTTATCTAAAACGCGAAATAACGTCTAAAATTCGTTTTCTAACATTGCTTTTTTATAATGCAAAAATGTGACGTCGCAACATCTGACCCCCCCCCTCCCCCTCATCGCACATCGTCACAAAATTACGGACCCCCCCTCCCCCCTACGAGTGTGACGTCATTTATGGATGACCCCTATACTGTTATTTCAATATTTAACAAAATATTAGAGTGGGGTGTTTTAGCCTTGGGCTTTTTTTTAACTCAGTGATCTTTTCATAAAAATATTTTAAAATCATTTTTATCTAACACAACAAATTTACTTTATTTTTATGACATCATCCAACTCAGGGATTTTACTTGAGGCTTCTGTAACACTCTCTACTTTTTCTTCTTTATCTACATATCTATATTTTATAACATTCCCATTTTTTCTCATCTCAAGAGTGGGTGATCCGTTACTGCTTACAGCTCGAGCTGTTAGAGTCAGGTCACCAACTGTTCCCACCCTTATCTGGTAATTCTTTTCTTTTTTTAACTCTTGTTCTACAGGTGAAAATGTCAGAAAGTCTTTTTCTGTATCATTGTAGTCCCCAAATCTAGGGAGAAAAAGTAAGACAAGGAAATGTGTGGTTAGACAATTCTACTGCTTGTAAAAAAATAAGTGGTTTAAGGAATAATTTCTTAGTATAATTACACTCAATATTGAAAAAGTACAACATAAAACAATGTTGAGGCTTATTTTGAAATGTATATCACCTTCTGAATTACGTACATTTCAAATTGACGCAAGTTTTCATTTCGTGTGTCCTTTTTTCTTACAGATTTACTAGATATATTCCACCAGGGTAATGGAATCCAGTTCGCAGCCTCTGAAACGGTATGCATTAAACTAGTTAATATCAATAGGGGGAAGAGATAAGAAAGGTTAAAGTCATTTTGTAACAAATCCTAATGTTTTTGGGCATATTTTTCTTAAAATTGATCAATTAATCTAAAGCTAAATTGTATCAAGATTTACTAAAATAAAAAATAAATAAATAAATAAATATAAAAGCAATAGGGATTTGCAATTTCAGTACAAAGGGAAACTACTCAAATAATGCTTTCAGCACAGTTTTCCTAGCCTGGTTATATCCCCTTACCCAAATAAAAATAAGGTAGACAAATTGTGAGATCATTTTAATGGGCAGAGTTTCTTCCAGGCATCTCACCGGGGGGGGGGGGGGGGGGGGGGGGGGGGAGGGGGTTCAAGCCCCCCTCGAAAAAAATCTACCCCTCCCCGAACGAAATGAAATTTATATGATTTGTATAGAAACTATATACTTTTAACAGTGTCCGCCCCCCCCCCCCCCGAAAAAAGTCCACCCCCCCCCCCCTCCACCCCCCCCACCCCGGAGAAAAAAGTCTGGAAGAAACTCTGTTACTGGGAGTGGAGGGGGAGAGACCAGAGTTTCTTTTAGGCATCTCTTCGAACGAGATGGATTTTATATAGTAAACATACACTTTTACTAGTGTCCGCCCCCCCCCCCCCCCCCCCGAAAAATGTTGACCGCCCCTCCCTCGCCCCGGAGAAAAAAGTCTGGAAGAAAAACTGGGAGAGAACAGGGCAGCCTTTTGACTTTCCAGTGACTGTGGTGGAGGGGGATATATATTTGACAAAATATATTGATGTTGAGCAGATTGTAAGAGGGGCGCATTATAATATATAATTTACTGCCAAAACTATATTTTAAAATAACTTAACGTAGATAGCATTTCATTTTAGGCAACTGCAAGTAATTGTAATTTTTCTTTACCATCTTTGAAGGAAGAATCAAACTTCTCATTTATCAACTTCTTATACTCATCATTAGAAAGTTTACGCATCACAACCTTATTGTTCACGTCTTTTTCAAAAACAGCTGAAAAAAAGTTTAATGTATCTGCCTTTAGTAGTAGCTAAATAAGACATTTATTGTTGGGATGGTGTGAGAGGTGATGTAGATGTCTTTGAAAATCATGTTGATGAAATCTAATTTCAATCTATCAGCTTGCATAATGGTATAAAACATTGTAAAGCATTACAAAAAAAATAAAATTTAGGCCTACTAAAAGTGTAAGTTGATTCTAATGTTCTAGCTAGTTGAATTTCTTCCCACAGAGAGCATTGCTCTTTTCCATGTCTGATTTGTATTTATAAAATTATAAAAAGCATAATAAAATTACCATAAAACTTCAGCTGGTCAGGATTTTTTTCACAAAATGCTTTCAGTTTATCTTTTGTAAACCATTCTAGATTATCTATATTGTTATCTAAAAATAAAATATCAATTATAAGAATTAAAGAATTCTAAAAAAATAAAGCATAATATATCTAATTTATTTAAAATGTAATCAATACATGACATGATTTTTAATTCATTTTAAATACTTGAACTTTTTAAAATAGAATAAAATCTCATAGAAAAAAGAATTGCGCACCAAGCGAACGCCAAAACAAAATGTGCATAATAGTGCGGAATATTATTAGTTAGTACTTTAAAAATTTACATGCGTTTTTTGAGAAATCGAAAATAGCGTAAATTACTACTTCCGGACAACAGAAATTACTCAAAATTTGATAGAAGGTAGAGGAGTAAATCTTTTACTTACATGTTAAATTTCATTTATCTATCTGAAATAGTACCCAAGTTATAGGCTTTTGAAAAATTCAAAGTAGAAAAAGTACCACTTTCGGTTATCGGAAATCGCTCAAAAGTTGATACGGATCTTCGATTTTGATAAAGTACTTATATATGAAATTTCATCAACCTAGCTGTAACGGTACTCAAGTTATCGTGTTTACAGACACACACACAGACACACACAGACACACACACAGACATACACACAGACATACGGACAAGATTGCACAAATATATTTTCCGACTCAGGGAGGTGTAAAACGTACAAGACTTTCTCTATACTTCGTATATACGAGAAAGTAAAAACAACTATACAATCTTTTCTATTGCCCGATTTGATATGAAATTCTCACTCACTTACTGTTAGTGTATAAAAATATACAAGAAAGTTCTGTTTTGCAGTGATATATTTTATGCTGAGATCCTTTGTCCTTGAAATGATTTGTCATGTGATATTTACTCCTAATTTTACATAACTTTATTGAGGTTTTTAATTTTGTTAGTGACTTTGCTGACCTACATTTGGCTTAGGTATTTAAATTTTAAAGCGATAAAATAAGATGCATATTTTATGGATATTGGATTAACTTCAGACATACAGATTATACCACGGCTTACGATCGGTACAATTTCTTTATTAATAAATACAGGGGCTAATATTTTATACAATTACTATGCATATGATTACGAGTAAGAAAATGTCGTTGAAAGGTGTTGTGACCTTGAAATTAACTTTCAAATGACAGCTGTTATAATATTTGGTAACATATTTATGTACACGATTACGAAAATAAGTATTAACATTTAAGAAATGAACATTCCCAATTGTATACGTAACACACCGATGTATATTTTGTTCCACTTTTATTTGACTTTGAGGGATAATAAATATTTTATGAATTTTTTTACTTTTATGTGAGCGAAAATTAAGGGTTTGGGCTTACATTAACATACAAATCTTCAACAAGTCTTTTTAATGAAAGTGAACCTAATTAATGTCAAGAATTTGAAATTCTAATCATATTATATACCGAATTTTAGCCACATAACTTTGTAACATTTGAAAACTCGTGAACAATGTGTCAAAGAAAATAATTTTGAGAAAAAAACAAAAACTGAAATCAACTATCTGATATGTTAAAAATGTGCAACATTTTAAGAAGTTTATTAAATAATTAAAAGTAACGCGGTTTTATATTGAAAATATATAAATCAAAGATTAAAACCAAACTTCCCCTGATTTTAGTAATAAATTTGTTTCTTTTAAAATTGTGTCATTAGTAAAACAAAGATATTAATCAAAATTAGGCATTTTTAATGAGATAAACTATCGCGTAGCCCTTGGTTATTGAAATGTAAATTAAAGTACGCCTAATTAACATTATAAAAATAATTGGTAGAAAATGTTCATAAAAGGTTCATTTAGATGAATATTTTAAAAAAACCCAGAAAAGTTTGTTTTCTATGATAAATGTGCGTGATACCTGTAAGCCTATTTAACATCCAATTTAATGCAACGCGAAGTATAATGTTGAGTGGTGAGCTTGATGAGGAGCCTAATCCACCGCCTGATGACGGGCTTAACCCACCACCTGATGACGGGCCTAATCCACCGCCTGATCCTTGTCCTGAAGATGAACTGTTTGGTGCACACAAATAGAAAACTTATTAAATAAAGCGTATATTACATTTATACTTTAGCGTATACGGAGTATAGAGAAAGTATTGTTATCGTGCAAAAAATCAAAATCGAGATTTTCACGAATCTCGACGTTTTAGACTTTTCTTATTCGGAAAATCTTAATTTTGCAATTGTGTCTGTATGTCTGTGTGTGTATGTCTGTGAACACTATAACTTGAGTACCGTCGCGGCTTGGTTGAGGAAATTGTATGTGTAAGTACTACAACAATTTTGTAGTTCTGATTCAATTTTTCAGAAATTTCTGATAACCGGAAGTGGCATTGATTCTACTTTTGGTTTTTTAAAAGCCTACAACTACACGTTGCACGCTATTAGTGACAAAGCGAAGAAATAACTAACTAGCTTAAAGGCCGTATGTCTGTGTGTGTGTGTGCGTGCGTGTGTGTGTGTGAAATTTCACATGTAAGTGAAAGATCTAATTCTCTGCCATCTGTCAAATTTTGGGTAATTTCCGTCGATCGGAAGTAGTAATTTTCGCTATTTCCGATATCTCGAAAAAAAATCATTAAAATAATGTCTATATCCCGAGTTGCCATCCCCTGTTGTTTTGTATAAGAATATTCGTGAAAGTTTAGGTGAGATCACTCCCGGTTTATTTTAAAATGAGCTAATACCCTAAACTTATAGCAATTCTCATCTCACATCGCCAAAATGTCAAAATACACAGTTTATCTGGTTATTTGTTATACCTCAAAAATAAAAACAACAACCTGCTATGCTGTAATAGAGTATATATATATATATATATATATATATATATATATATATATATATATATATATATATATATATATATATATATATATATATATATATATACACTACAACCAAAAACAACTAACGCAACTTAATCTGTTTTGTAATCCTTGTAAAAAAAACAATTTGACATAATGGTTCCTAGAATATTAATTAAGTCGAGTGAACTAGGTGAAATAATTACTCTCTAAATATAACTATGTGTATTTCTATGTGTATGTCTCCAAATTTAGTTGTAAATGTCAATACAGATCAATAATTAATTTAATACGTAATATACTAGCTTAATACTATTCGTTTCTACAAAAATAGTTTGTCTACAATCAGAATTAAATATATTGTTATCATAAAATATTTCAGCATAATGTAAGTTTTTTAATCAGAGTTGGTATAAAATCAAACTTTTCTATGCAATTTAAAGCTAAGTCTAATAGGTGGAACAATCTGAATAATAGCATAATACATATATTTAAATTATTGATCTTGCAGTTTCAATCATTCATCCTTTTTAATTAGCTACTGTTTATTGTGTTCTTTAAAGATTCATTTTTAACATAATGATATGGTGTGGGTTAGATCACTGTATTGATCACACACCTCTTTAAACAACATTTAGAGTTTTACCTGTTTCAAAAGCTATGATTCTGGCGGCATGGAACTTTGGTACCTAATTACGCGTTTTCCCAAATGTACTTACCAGATCAGTTCGGGGTGGGTTGGGGGGGGTTGGTTCAACTTCATTCACCACAGTCCTGCCGTTTTAGGTGAATATCCTACCCAGCGTATACCTAGGTGTGACATTAATGTCGCTCTGCACAATTGTGGTGGTAAGGTGTGTGGGGGTTTTTAGATGACTGTTCTAAACATACATATACAATTATACAATTATACATATATACTGATTCATAAATAGATTTAAATAAGTAACAGTAGTATTATGATAGTAATTTTTTTAAGAAGGGGTTCATGGGGGTTGTAACCCCCATACCCCCCCCCCTGCCTACGCCACTGCTACCAGGGCACCGAAGGACACACCTGATTCAATTTAGTGAGCGACTGTAACACCCCATTTTATCCATTGTCTATCGCACTGTTTAGAACGAACGCAGGCGCCGTTACGCTCATGGGAAAGCCCAGGGTGCCAAATCAAATCCTACAGGAGCGCCGGGGGACGCGCCTGGTTCGATATAGTCAACGATTATTGTTGCCCATCATGTCTTTAGTAAATAGTTTTTCTTAAACGAACTTATGTGCCATAGTGCTCGCAGGAGAGCCAGGGACGCTTCGGATCGTGCAATCTAAGCTGTGTCGGCGGTTGCGCCTGTTGAAGTTTTAACACTGAGTGTTCTAATCAACGCCAAAAAGTTTGATGGCGATCGGATGAGCGGTGTGAAACTGCAATTGACTTTTATTTTTATATACTGTGTATAGAGAAAAAACAAATCGCGCCCTGTGGCGATCGGATGAAAGGTGTAGTAATGCATAAAAGACAGACACACAGACACACACACATTGCTTAATATATATATATATATATTAATTGAAAGATATGGACACCTAAAAAATCTTAACCCGCCCCTGGCGGAATCCTGTTCTATCTCACTTATACGGTAAGGGATTAACGTACACGCACGGCTTTCATGCGGTAGGTTAACCCGCGCCCCGTTAAATATAATCCAAGCACAGGCATTGTTTACATTTAAACAACTCAGTTTATAAAGAAAAAAGTCACAAGTCTAAGAATAATTGGTAACGCATTGATGAAACCCTTCTTATATATCTTTCAGACTCTCTTCTATCCCCGCGTCAACGCGCGGGGATGGGCACGCTAGTATTTAATAACTAAGCCTATACATGTTTATCCCTTGGATATCCCTCTTTTGGGGATGTCGAGCAGACAGTTTTGAATATCAACATTATGCTTGTCAACCTTATGGCCTGTAGGTTTGACCGTATGTCGACCTTTTGTTCTTATCATGACAAGAGGAATGGTCTAAAGTCTAAATAAATGTTATGTCATGCTGCGTGGGGTATAACATATTTATATAGAAAGGGATAGTAGATATACTATATGCACGATCCTTACCGAATCAAAATAAAAGGAGAAACATTACCCTGCTTTGACATCCAATAATGTCCAATAAGTGAAGCCTGCTGCTGCCGATGCCGCCAAAATTCCCAGCTTTCCAAACTGAAGCCATTTTGCTTTATAAATATTTTGTATTGGCCTTTCACTTGCTCCTTCCTGTCTGCTATACTTATGTAACAATTTACCGTTTATCAAAGAATTTAAACTGTTTGTTTCAGACTTATGAAAAAGTGCATGCTGTATCGGTTTTCGAGTTAACTGCGACACGACAAACTGACGACAAAACATTCTAGTTGAACTCGGTTCACAACTGCGTTGCCTTAACCCTATGTCCTAAATGATATATTTTCTCGAAATTAAGATGAGGGGAAATTCCACATGTTCAACGTTGTTTTGACTAGAAAAGACACCCCATTGGTTAAAATTATCACCCTATTATGCGTGCAAAGTGTAAAAAAAAACACCAGACAGTTGCTTAATGCGTAAGCAACGCCCAAAAAACTGCGTTCGCAGAATCGCATTGTGTGTATGTGGGTGTTTGTGTGTGTGTGTGTGGGTTTGTGTTTGTGTGTGTGTGTTTGTGTGTGTGTGTGCAAAAGCACAAAACCAGTCTGACAACATTTCTAGATAATCCCTCACATATTATTACCAATTCAAGGAATTTCTTGGTAGTCAGAAAGAGAAACAGACAAAGAGACAATCAGACAGACAGAGAGACAGGAAGACATAGAGACATACAACAGATCGACCGATTAACCGAAGTTTCGGTGTAAGCTAAATGTCACTATAACCCTGTGCCTTTGAATTTCCTTTATTCCGAGATCGAAGGTATGCTGTCTATAGGGACGTCTAAATATAAATTAAAGTATTTTGGTTTGTGTGCCTGTGGGTTTGTCTTTTTATGCATTACTAGATACACATCTAAAATATGAATAAGATCTCATGAGCCACCAAAGCTTTTATGAAAGAAAGCAAATTAGTTATATATCATGTAAATCATATCGTATACACACACGTTAACTGTGATGTCATGTGTATGAAAGCTGTATTCGTGGATCACTGCGTTTGTGTGTGTATACGGTATTATTGCGCAAGGCCGGGAGTGTTGACGTGTATGTTTTGTTGCGAACGAGGGTAACAAGGCAAGAGACCATTCGAGTGACAGCGGGTGGGTTGTGAGTGGAAGAGGAGGTGTGTAGGATTGAATGCGGGGGACACAGTTGAAGGTTGGAGTAAAAAGTGAAGGTTAATGTGAAGAGAAGCTAAATACATGAGATTTACTTAACTGTCATACCTAACCTCTACGAGTTTGTTGGAGTATTAACTGACTTTGTAATTTAAACGAGGGTACATCGAGTAAACTACACCGCTAGACAACATGATGTCGACCACATCCTATGGACCACAATGTTAACCGACTTTCTAATTTATATATATAGCCGTCCTGTGAAAAACACATGTGTAAAGAAACGTGACTTGTGTGTTTTTTTTAGCTGCATATAATCGTCGTTGCCCGGGTTTAGAGAGTATACTACTTTTCCAATGAAATGTTTATGCAAATATGGACTCATACATTTTAAACTTCAAACTAACTCTAACTGTAAACTTAACCCTAACCTCAACCAACCACAAAAAAAAACATAAGCGCAAACACAACAACAAACACAAACGCAAACACAACCTTGTGGCTATATATATATATATATATATATATATATATATATATATATATATATATATATATATATATATATATATATATATATATATATACGTATATAGAACATTAAAAATTCGGCGCATCTTTTTGCTATTTTTGCTCACCCAACACCGAAAACCTGGATACGCCTCTGGTATGTATGTACCATAAGTTCCCATCCCTAACACTGCCCCTGTTTGTATTATCTTTCAAATGTTCCCATACCTTACAGCCAGAGGCGTATCCAGGTTTTCAGTGTAAAGGGGGGGGGGGGCGAAAATAGCAAAATAGGCGCTGAACTTGTAATATGTTCTATATACAAATATATATATATATATATATATATATATATATATATATATATATATATATATATATATATATATATATATATATATATATATATATAATATAGGGCGTAGTCTGTTTTTGGCATCATAGTACAATTTTCTTTATAATAGCATTATGGCTATTCTAAAAATTGGAATGCATAAGTCGCGTAAATAAAGATATTTTTACAAGCTTTTATTTAACTCACTTCCTCTGTCGTCAGTCGTCAGTCTGTCTAGACGGAAACGCAGGAGTGAAAATTCGGACAGTTCTACTTGACCGACACGATTCACAGTTGGCACGTGGGTCAAGACATGAAGACAATGCAATCTGAAACTAAATTTGACTTAATTGGATGCCTAATTGATTTTTTATGAATTAATTAAAATTTGGACCGAATTAGTAGGCATGTCTAGCCAACCACACCACACGCGTCATCAATAGCTGCGCCATCACGACCACGTAATGGCTGCGTTCAAAAACCATTGCGCGCCTACTGAACGTGATATTCAGTAGGCGCGCAATGGTTTTTAGTCATGTAACTCTATTGTAGATAAAACATGTAAAGTACTGAAAAAAAAATTCATAAAAAACGTTTTAATAACAAGCTTTTATGTAATGATGCACTAAAAAGTAGAAAATAAATTATAGATTACTATTTAAATAACTATAAAGAAAAGCGTGGGTGTCTTCCTTAACATTAGTAAAGGTATCCAATAGATACTAAAGTGACCCACGCTTTTCTTTATAGTTATTTAAATAGTAGTCTATAATTTATTTTCTACTTTTTAGTGCATCATTACATAAAAGCTTGTTATTAAAACGTTTTTTATGAATTTTTTTTTTACAAGCTTTTATTTAACTCACTTCCTCTGTCTGTCGTAAGTCGTCAGTCGTCAGTCTAGACGGAAACGCAGGAGTGAAAATTCGGACAGTTCTACTTGACCGACACGATTCACAGTTGGCACGTGGGTCAAGACATGAAGACAATGCAATCTGAAACTAAATTTGACTTAATTGGATGCCTAATTGATTTTTTATGAATTAATTAAAATTTGGACCGAATTAGTAGGCATGTCTAGCCAACCACACCACACGCGTCATCAATAGCTGCGCCATCACGACCACGTAATGGCTGCGTTCAAAAACCATTGCGCGCCTACTGAACGTGATATTCAGTAGGCGCGCAATGGTTTTTAGTCATGTAACTCTATTGTAGATAAAACATGTAAAGTACTGAAAAAAAAATTCATAAAAAACGTTTTAATAACAAGCTTTTATGTAATGATGCACTAAAAAGTAGAAAATAAATTATAGACTACTATTTAAATAACTATAAAGAAAAGCGTGGGTGTCTTCCTTAACATTAGTAAAGGTATCCAATAGATACTAAAGTGACCCACGCTTTTCTTTATAGTTATTTAAATAGTAGTCTATAATTTATTTTCTACTTTTTAGTGCATCATTACATAAAAGCTTGTTATTAAAACGTTTTTTATGAATTTTTTTTTTATTGCTTAAATCAGTTTTACAAAACGATATTCATTTTAAATTTAAAAAGAAACAACAATAATTTACTAAGGCCTATGCAACACGTTTGATAACAATTTTGTTTTATCCTGTACTCTAGAACTTTTGTTAGAACTACTACATCCTTTTTGTCAAGGTTTCATTTTAGCAAAATTATCAATCACTTCCTTTTAATTAACATCAGAAGCTAAATGCCGTTCAATCGTAATCAGGGCTAAGCTGGACAATCTGTCTTCGTTCATAGTAGAACGGATGTATGTTTTCAGGAGTTTAAGACGGCTGAAGGATCTTTCTGCTCCGGCACTGCTTATTGGTGAAGTCAGAAATATACGATACAAAGTAGACAGGTTTGGATACATGAATTTCAAAATGCTGTTAAATGTCCACGCTATTTCCAGAGATTCTTTTTCATTTTCAGTTGAAACTCCCTTGTTTTCACTGCTTACACTAAAAACGTCTTTGTAAAATGTTGTAAATTATACGAATTCCTCCACTACTTCAGTTCCACTTTCAACAACATCCGAGTACGTCACTCGCAATTGCTCCAAATGTATCAAACTGTCATCTAATAGAAAATGTTTTGGGTCTAAGCAACAAAACTTGGAAGACACGTCTTTAAAATTTTGAAACCTTGTGTTTGTACTAGTTATGGCAGAGTCCACTGACACTAAATAAGTTTGAACAATGAACTTTTTCCTAGAGTCAGATATCTGAAGAAAAAATGTTGTAGATTACAAAGCTCTACCTATAAAGCAATTTAAATTTGTCTTCCATGTCAACTATTTTTTTTTCTACCACACAATACTTGGTTATTTAACTCAAATGTTTGCTTACAAACTTTTAAGAAACAGATATCACCATATTTGTGCACTTATACTTGTAATAAGTTATTTTTTTTTTTACTTTTCATAGATCTGTAATGAATGTTCACTATGACTTGTTCAGGAGTTGACATTATACACCTTATTGGACACACACACGCACATATAAAAGGAAATTACAACAAAAATCTTCTTAGATTTTATTAATTTATTTTCTTTAAGCCGATAAAACACCATGCAGTAATCTTAACATTCGTTCAAAACATACACGAGTCATTCACTCTATTCATATTTAAGTGACACAATGGTTAAACTCCTCCCTTTTGTTTTCTGTAACTAGGCACAATACGCTTTTGTATTTTATGTCTCAAGCAAGGAGGGGGGGGGGGATATTTTTTCTTTGTAATCGTGTTGTAAACAAAGGATAGGAGATTACTAAGTAAGACGGGTGAGAAGATGGTTTGCATCGCGATAATTGAAAACATGGCGATGTTTAGCTATGCTTACAGACCTCAACCAAAAAAGTCAAGCTTTCTACATGAGCACTATCGGCGAAATTTGTTTTAAATATTTTTAATACACTATTTTTTTTTCTTTTAGTAAGGTTTTATTTATTCTGTTCTCGTTCACGCTTGATGATTTTAGTCCAAAGATTTTTTTATTCTAAGTTTTTCGGTCAGAGCTATCCTCTCTGTTGCTAGTTTTTATGATTGCATCTGAAATTGTTAGGCGAAAGTAGCCTGCATTCCAAATTTCAGATCTCTAGAGCAATCAGAAGTGGGCTAATTTTCGATGTCAATTTTAACAACAAACACATCCACAAACGCGAAGCTGAGTTAATAAAAACGTGTTAAAAAAGTTTAAAAAAACCCACGTTTTCTGATTGAACTAAAAAGTAGAAAATAAATGCTATACATCACAATAATGCAAGCGATCACTCTACTATAAGCGATCAAAAACGTGGGGCGCCGTGATTTTCTTACAGTTTCTAATACTGTTGACTCTCTACAAGCTCCCTAATAAAAGTCAATAGTATTATCTAATCAATAGTAATATAACTTTTACTTCGGCGCCCCACGTTTTTCATCGCTTATAGTAGAGTGATCGCTTGCATTATTGTGATGTATAGCATTTATTTTCTACTTTTTAGTTCAATCAGAAAACGTGGGTTTTTTAAAACTTTTTTAATGATTATTATTAAAAAAAATTCTTCCAAACACTTTGTCCAACCAAGAACAGACTACAAGGCAAAAGTTGTTTGATTTTGGAGTTGTCTCTCCTAGAAGAGTTGCTGTTTCCAGCTATTAAGTGTAATCTGCCCGGGGTTCAAACTCAGTTTTCGGTTTACAAACCATCAGATTTACCAACCCGACCACGCAGATCCCTTTTCAGCAGACAAATTTACCCGTTGTTTTAAAAACTTATGGTGATGTTTGTTGAAATATTATCATCAGAGAACAAAATGGAGTGCCTTAATTAAGGTCATACTGGCAGGTAATTTTGTAATTTTCTTAAGGTTCAATATCTGTCAACACAAGTATGACGCTCTGATTTCAAACAGGAAGTTTAAATACTTCAAGAGATAAAAATATCTTTGATTAAAAAAAGACAATTTTAATTCATGTAGAATCTTGTTTGTTGATTATACAGAAATCATATAAAACGTGTAAGGTCATAATGTATACTAGTATACTATTACAAACTGTTGCAAGTTAGAATACTTAAATGTACCCACTTCCATTAAGAAACATAATAAAATAGAACAAAGAGCTGGAAAAAATGTAAATATGCAGATATTGTGACATCATTTGGTTGGTTGTACACAGTTAAACATTTTAAGTACAATTCAATGGTTTTACAATAAAACAATAAACCTTAAGACCTAACCTTTTACATGCTAAAATCATTGACCACCTTAAGAGCTAAGCAGTCCACAAAATATTTCTGAAAAAATTATTTGTTAATGAAAAAAAAAAAAAGAGTAAAAAAATCAACTGACAGGATTGTTAGGCTAAGCATTGAAAAACGAACATTTCATTGTGTAGTTTAATAAACAATTTCTGCATTTGTGGACTCCTTTAGAATAGTTAACATAAAAGAAAAAAAAATGTTTTTGATTATAATGCCATTATTGTATGGCCCCAGAAAACACTGAACATGTTTTACAAGAATGCATTGTGTACCAGCAGACAAGGCCTATAACTCTGGCCACAAAACACCTTGCTCAGTGAGAAATTGAACAGGGAGCTGGTGCAGTAACTGTGCAGTTTGCCTGCAATATTGGACAAGCTATAATACCCTCCTTTATTTACATATTAAGAATAAATAAAATGAATAATGAAAAAATCCTTTACAATTTAGAAAAAAATATTTTTACAATTCTCATTCCTCAACTTTGAATGTCAAATACAGTCCAAAGGTCTAATTGTAGCTTATGATTGCAGCCAAAATAGGACTAAATGGTTTGATAGATGTGTAATTAACCAGTTTCTTTACATGTGCAGGGTGTCTTTCAGAATTTTTTTCACTGGGGTTTGGGGGGGGGGGGGGGCACAGTTAAAACATTTCCTGGATGGAGAAATGGGCTAAAGTATAATATTTTTTTCTATAATTTATAGATTTTTTTTCTATTTCCTCTGGGAGGGTGGACCTACTTCAAAGGGAGATGACTGAAAGAAACAGCGATCATGTGATTTTTATTGAGGTAAAGTGCTTTTTCAGCCTGATGTTCCTTATGGGAGGTGGTTGAGTATGTTTTTCTAAGACCATAATAATCATATGATTAAAGGTGAACCATAGCCCAAACCCCATTACTATGATCAGCTTGAGTCAGTTATCCAAAAGTGACATTGGATTTTGAGACAACCTACAATCTTAAACACAAGACTTTGGGTAAATGGGTTTATGAGCACATGCCTTATAAAGATGCAGCACAATCTTATTTTATTTTGAGTAGGGTAAAAAGTTTTGTGCACATCTGGCTTTGGAACTGATAATATATGGTGTTAAAATTGGAAATAAATCAGATTAAAAATAATGAATAGCTGCACTTCTTGACATCAGCAGTGGTTTAAGATAAACATACAGCATAAATTACCAAACAGTATCTTCCAAGTTGATGTAAAGGTCAGGAGTTAGAAGATTAAAACTGTCAAAGTAGTTTCACAAAAATATAACCAAATTAAAATAAAACATACTCATCACTTGGGAAATAGACTTAAAATGACAAATATTCATATATAAAGTAAATTAATTTCCACTATTATAAATCTTAATTTGACATATACAGTTATTTCAATATTTAACAAAATATTATAGTGGAAAGTTTTAACCTTGGCTATTTTTTTATATTTTTATAGAAAGTTAATTACGGCATTTAATTGTAATAAGATCTCTTAATTTAGAGTATTTAAGTTTAAAATAGTTATCTTGACTATTTATTTATACATTAAAAATTTAACTCAGTGATCTTTTCATAAAAATATTTTAAAATCATTTTTATCTAACACAACAAATTTACTTTTTTATTATTACATCATCCAACTCAGCGATTTTACTTGAGGCTTCTGTAACACTCTCTACTTTTTCTTCTTTATCTATATATCTATTTTTTATAACATTCTCTTTTTTTTCTTCGTTTTTCTTAGTTCTTAATCTTATCTCAAGAGTGGGTATGCTGTTATCCTGGGGTTCTTTTTTTGCCTTGGTGTTCGTGAAAGTGCTTTCAGCTCGAACTGTTATAGTCAGGTCACCAACTATGCCCACCCTTATCGGGTAATTCTTTTTAATTTTTACCTCTTGTTCATCAGGAGAAAATGTCAGAAAGTCTTTTTCTGCATCCTCGAAATTCCCATCTCTAGGGAGACGAAAAATAAGGACAAGGGTGGTTAGACAATGCTATTGCTTGTAGTAAATAAGTGGTTTAAGGAATAATTTCTTAGTATAATTACACCCAATATTGAAAAAGTACAACATAAAACAATGTTGAGGCTTATTTTTGAAATGTATATCACCTTCTGAATTACATACATTTTAAATTGAATCAAGTTTTTATTTCTTGTGTCCTTTATTCTTTCAGATTTACTGGACATATTCCACAAAGGTAATGGAATCCAATTATAAGTCTCTGAAACTGTATGCATTAAACTAGTTAATATCAATAGGGGGAAGAGGTAACACATTCCAAATTTTTTTTGGTACAATTTTTTTTAAATTTATCATTGAATTTAAAGCTAAATTTTATCCCGATTCACTAAAAATAAAAAAATAAAAATAAATAAAAAAATATAATAGCAATAAATAGTGATTTGCAATTTCAGTACAAAGGGAAACTACTCAAATAATGTTTTCAGCACAGTTTTCCTAGCCTGGTTATTTCCCCTTACCCAAATAAAAAGTACATTTAAGGTTGACTTGACAAAGTGTGAGGTCATTTTAATGGGAGTGGAGGGGAGAGACCAGAGTTTCTTCCAAGCATCTCTTCGGGGGGGGGGGGGGAGGGGGGCCAGAGCCCTTCAGAAGAAAGTCTACGGGCCCTTTCAAACGAGATGGATTTTATATAGTAAACATACTTTCTTTTACTAGTGTCCGCCCCCCCCCCCCCAAAATGTTAACTTCCCCCCCCCCCCCCCCCCCCCCCGAAAATTTCAAAAGCCCCCCCCCCCCCCCGGGAAAAAAGTCTGGAAGAAACACTGGGAGAGACAGGGCAGCCTTCTGACTTTCCAGTGACAGTGGTGGAGGGGGATATATATTTGGCAAAATATATTGACGTTGATCATGGACCACTACTAATACATTAATGAACATGCTCTCTAAAGCACATTCACAATTAAAACCAGATTATTTAAAGTGATATGTACTAGTAATGGCACATCTGGTGATAAAGTATTTATTGAGCAGATTGTAAGAGGGGCGCATTATAATATATAATTTATATTTTAAAATAACTTAACATAGATAGCACTTCATTTTAGGCAACTTCAAGTAATTGTAATTTTTCTTTACCTTTTTTGAAGGAAGAATCAAGATTCTCATTCATTAATTTCTTATACTCATCATCAGAAACTTCACGCAAGGAAACTTTATTGTCCTCCATGTCTTTTTCAGAAACAGCTGAAAAAAAGTTGAGTGCATCTGCCTAAATAAGACATTTATTATAGGGATGATATTATAAGTGATGTAGATGTCTTTGAGATTTAATTTGATGAAATTTAATTTCAATCTATCACCTTACATAATGGTATAAAACATTGTAAGGATAGAATAAGGTGGGTAAGTAAATTGATTCTAATTTTAGCCACTTGAATTTCTAACCACAGAGAGCATTGCTCTTTTCCATGTCTGATTTGTATTTATAAAAAAGCATATTAAAATTACCATACAAATTCAGCTTGTCAAAATTTTTTTCACAAAATGCTTTCAGTTCATCTTTTGTAAAGACTTTTACCTTCTCGTTTATCAACAAGTTATCTAAAAATAAAATGTAAATTATAAGAATTAAAGAAGCCTTAAACTAAAGCATAATATATCTAACTTATTTAAAATTTAATCAATACATGACACTATTTATAAACGATAAGTAGAGCTAATGTCACTTAAAATAAAGGTAGTCCCAGATTTATATTTTAAACTACAAACCTTCTAGGTCTACTTCTTCAGTTGCTTGATGGTAAACCAAACTTTCTTCTTCTGGAAAACTTTCAATTTTACAGATTTAAAAAAAAGAGACTAGATCTATAATTATTAGACTAATCAAATTGATGAAATTGATGTATGCCCTGTAGACTTTTTTTTTCAAAGATGACACAATGTTAAAATGTGTATTCATATTGTTAAACAAATAATGTAGGCCAATGGATCCCAAATGGTTAATTCTACTTGCTGTGTTGAGTAAAGTTATGTTTTCTATATAATGAAATTTGTGACGCCATGCAGTGTTTCTTCCAGACTTTTTTCTCCGGGGGGGGGGGGGGCGGATTAAAATGTTCAGGGGGGTTGGGGGTTAAAAGTATATATTTCCTATATAAATTCCATTTCGTTCGGGAGGCGGTAGACTTACTACTCCCTCCCCCCCCCCCCCGAAGAGATGCCTGGAAGAAACTGATTATCCCACGACCAAGTAGTTCACAAACCTCTCTTGTAATCACAATTTTAAAAAAAATTAGGCTCACAATCATGTAAACAGTATACTATATAGCCTTTACTAGTTACATTACCCCTTACACACAAAACCCACATGTTATGTAACTAGAGTCGGAATTTCTCCCTCACCATAAAATACATCGACTAATAAGATGATAAAAGGCACGCCCTCCGCGGGGCTACCCCCCCCCCACCCTTTTGATATAAATATTAGTATTAGTCTATATAATAGGTGCGTCTAGCAAAGCAATTTTATTTTTTTATTGGATGTCTACTACCAGAACTAATGTTACATCCAACAAAGTATAAATACTACAGGAAAGGGGTAAATTGATGGGGGTGGGAGGGTGGGGTGGGAGTGGATGTTGGGGTAGGTGGGGGGGGGATGGATGTGGAGTAGGGGGTGGGGTGGGTGGGGGGAGTGGATGTCCAGAATCGACGTCACGCCTGTTAGGATGAATTCGACTAAATCTGATCAATTAGCTGCTAGATAAATAATAATTAGCCAATGAATTAAAGAAGAGAAAGAAATGTGTAAAAGTTACCCTGCTTTGACATCCTTCAATAAAGTCAAGTAAGTGAAGCCCGCTGCTGCTGTAGTAGATGCTACCACCAGCAATCCCAGTTTTCCAAACTGAAGCCATTTTGATTTTGTTTTATACTGTAGTTTACCTCCAGCTTCCTCCTGCCTGTTTTGTGAATGTAGCAGCTTGCTGTTTACAAAACATTTTGTACCTACATTGTTCGTTTTGGGCTTTTGAAAAAATATATTCTGTATTGGTTTAACAGTGTTATTTGCCTCAATTAACCTACGACCGAAAATACGAAGCATCCTACTTGTACTAGCCATTCCGTACACAAAGGCGATGCACTTTAAATGTCAATAGCCACTAGAATGATAGAATCCTACTTGTGAAATGGGTGCAAATTCCTGGAAATTTCCGGAAATTCCCGGTAAGACCTCGGCTTTACAACTTCATCACAGGTTTAAAACGAAAGTTTATGAATGAGGCAATAAGAAATTGAAAACAACACGGCAGTTCAAAATAACAGGCTTACATTATATATGGCTAAAGGTGACGTCTTAGTCGCGTATATATACATATACATATATATATATATGTATATATATATATATGTATATATGTATATATATATATATATATATATATATATATATATATATATATATATATATATATATATATATATATATATGTATATATGTATATATATATATATATATATATATATATATATATATATATATATATACATATATACAGTGCCGCCAGACCCCGCAATGCGGGGTGGCCCAGGCCGTTTAGGGGCCCACAGCCGACCATGATCAATTTTTTTTTTTTATAGTTAAAGAATAATTTTCTTGTAAAAAAAACAAACAGATCTACTACAGTTGTGATGTACTACAGTAGCTAACACACACTGTATCGTAAAGTTGTAGTGTGTAAGATAGGCAATCATTCAAACCGCTTCCATGACTTATTTCCCTTTTTTAAAATAGTCAAATACGTGTGTTCTTAAGAAACTTTAAATAAATTTGCACTTAACAAATTAAAAAGCAATTACATCTCTTAATTATTATTTTTTAAATACATAATAAAGAATGAAATAGTAAAAAAGGAAATGTGTTAAAAACTAATAATATAAATACAAAAAAACTTTAAATAAACATAAGGCGAGAAACCATTACACATACAAAGCTTTCTTGCTTCATATTCTTTTGACCGACTTGCTACTTAAGAAACATTATGTCAAACATTGAAACAAAGAATTTCAAAACAGATTAATAGCACTTACTCATGATGTGTTGTTGCTGTATTGTGTTTTAATTAAAATAAAAACTAAGAATTTTTAATTCTTCAAATTTCGAACAAGCCCGAATTCTATGTTCGTATTTTTGGTATATATATATATATATATATATATATATATATATATATATATATATATATATATATATATATATATATATATATATATATATATGGGGCCCAAAAATTTTTTTTTGCGGGGTGGCCCAATTTTTCTAGTTCCGCCACTGATATAAATATGTGTGTGTGTGTGTGTAGGGCAATGGGTAGGCCTATTAGGCTATAAATTTGACACCTAGAGTGACAGGACAAAATATCTTATGGACATAATCTCAGGACAAACGATCTCAATAACAACTGATCTCAGACAAAGATCTCACACAATATTGATCAGCAAAATATTTATAGTATTTAGGAGGATTTTAGTCAATTTGAACATTTTTGTAATAAGCATATGGATTTTATTTCCTTTTTTACAAGCTTTTATTTAAATCTCAACGTCCGTTTGTTTGTAGTTTGAGGATTTTTTAAATCTTGTAACCCAGCTTTGATCCAATTCTAATGCAGCGATTTTATTCAAACTTTCCAGATACGTTCCACTTTGATGGAAATACACGTCTATCTATTTTGTAAACTAATTAGATGTTTAGTCAGTCATTAAACAATAAATATACAGTTTCAAAACTAAGGGGAGATAAAAAAATTAAATAACTCGATAGATTCCTATATCCAATAACACAAGGGGAGATAACTAGCTATTAGTATATCCCGACCAGTCCGGTGATGTTCACGCCGAAAAATGCACAACCCTAGAGACGATAGATCTCATGAAGACTATCAAGGGAAAATACTCAAGTTTTGAAACTAAGATTTGGAACTTGCTGTCGTGTAGACATCGTGTAGACCACATCGTATAGACCATATTGTATCGACCACAATTTTAACCAACTTGGTACTTTTATACCATATTATATAGAATAGACCACTTCTTATAGACCACATTGTGTAGACCACATTGTATAAACCACATGGTGTAGACCACAAGGTGTTGACCAAATTGTATACACCACATCATGTAGAACACATTGTATAGACCACATTGTATAGACCACTTTGTATAGACCACATTGTGTAGACCACACCGTGTAGACCACAGTAATAACCAACTTTGTACTTTATACCAGATTACATTGTATAGACCACATTGTGTTGACCACATTGTATAGACCACACTATATATACCACATTGGTAGACCTCATCGTTTAGACCACATTGTGTAGACCACAGTATTAACCAACTTTGTACTTTATACCAGATAAATTGTATAGACCTCATTGTATAGACCACATTGTGCAGACCACATCGTGTAAACCGAATCGTTTAGACCACATTGTGAAGACCACATAGTTTAGACAACATCGTTTAGACCACATTAGGTAGACCACATCGTTTAGACCACCTTGTATATTCCACATTGTGTAGACCACATCGTGTAGACCACATTGTGTAGTCCACATTGTATAGACCACATTGTATAGACCACGGGTTCCCAACCTGGGGGTCGCGACCCCCCTGGGGGTCGCGAAGGTCTTTCTGGGGGGTCGCCAACTGGTATACTAAACCTTAGTAATTTGAAACAAAACATAAATATTTAGAAGAATTTTTTTTTTAAATTCGGCTTCATTAACATCACAGGAAATGTAATAGAGAAGAAACAAAGCGCACTGTACAAAGTTGTTCTCAGTCACGAATCTATGATATATTCAAAACTAAAACGTCATTTGAGACGATTCATTCGGAACACACCAAAAAATATATGGAGTTCTTTCGTCGGTAAGAAGCTAGTTGCAAACGCCAGAAACTTGATCGAACAGGAAGTTTTCACCAGCATTAGTGCAAGCATCAAATGAAGTCGCGATAGAAAATGCCAAGCAAAAAAAAAAAAAAAAAAAAAAAACAATGGAGAAAATCTCATCAAACGCTGCATGTACGTAAATGTTAAATAACACATTTTTATTGAAATTAAGCTTTCACCATTGTTTGCTTTTCAAGTTGATAAATCAACAGACGTGAGTTCGTGTTCGCAGTTGCTGGTCTGTGTCTATATTCATGCGGATGATAGCAAAGAAAAGTTGCTCTTTTGTGAAGATAGCATGGAGAAAATAAATACCTTTTTTGAAACTGGATGATTAAAATGGGTTACAACGGCTGTGGGGGTTTGTACGGATGGTGCGCCATCTATGTTTAGCTCAAAATCGGGCTTTCAGAACACAGAAAGATTTAGCTCCCTAACCACTGCCCTAACCAATCGACATCAAGAGTCCATTGCTAGTATAAGTAGTGAATTATATAAAATCTAGAGCCTTCAAAGAACTGAGCAAAAACATTCATATAGATCACGAGATTCTGCTCTTCTACACTACAGTACGCTGGCTGTCAAACGATATGTTGTAAATTGTGTTTTTGAATTGAAATCTGAAATCAAATTGTTCTTGGGAGTGCAAAGGAAACAAGACTTTTTGGTATACTTAAAACGACATAGAGTGGTTGGAGAGAGTATCATACCTAGCAGATATGTTCGAACATCAAGATAAGCTTAACCTGAAGCTTCAGGGAAAATGAACGAATATTATAACTTTCCATGATAATCTCGGGGCATTTTTATCAAAGCTGCAAAATCGGTAAAGAAAACAAATCTTGGAAATATTGTAAATTTGAGAAACTTTGCGGTGTGGTAGATGAATCTGATTGTGAGATAATTAACATTTCGAAAGAAGCGATTTCTGGGCATCTTGAATAGGCTGTTGCTCGTAATTTTTAAACTCCACTAATTTCAAATAAAATTATACCACAAACAAAAACAGGATTTTTTTCCCTACACATTGATACCAATTTTGTGTATATAGCTTAATTAGGAGCTAAAATATGGCCTTTTAAAAATTTGTGGGCGTGGCTGAAACATTAAAAAATTATAATTATCACTTGAATCTCTTGAAAACGAACTGTATCGCTATTTCTCTGAGCTGAAAAAAGAAGAATCTGCATTTACGCATTACCCATTCTCTTCTTCCCTTGATGTTGCCAGCATTCCCGATGAATTACAAGATGAATTCTTTGATTTGCAGAATGATTCCGAGTAAGATGAAAAACTGCAGACACAATTTTGGTGTAGTATTCACCATTCATACCCAAACGTAAAATTGATTGACTTTTCGAGAATATATTTTCAACACTATTCTTCGATTAAAAACAAAATTAAGATAATTATTATGACATAGGTTGGCGTTAACAAAAAATGTTTTTAATTAAAAACTTAACCACGAAGGTTTAGTGAATAGTATGCAATTGTACTCAGTTATCAAGAGTACTTCATATTGAAAGTCTACTAGAAAATCTTATTTTAGTGCTTATTCATTTCCATACTAATTTCGGCTTTTTAATTCTATGGGGGTCGCGGGTCACTTACTTTTTATAAAAGGGGGTCGCCACTCGAAAAAGGTTGGGAACCCATTTTAATCATCCAGTTTCAAAAAAAGGTATTTATTTTCTCCATGCTATCTTCACAAAAGAGCAACTTTTCTTTGCTATCATCCGCATGAATATAGACACAGACCAGCAACTGCGAACACGAACTCACGTCTGTTGATTTATCAACTTGAAAAGCAAACAATGGTGAAAGCTTAATTTCAATAAAAATGTGTTATTTAACATTTACGTACATGCAGCGTTTGATGAGATTTTCTCCTTTGTTTTTTTTTTTTTTTTTTTTTTTTTTTGCTTGGCATTTTCTATCGCGACTTCATTTGATGCTTGCACTAATGCTGGTGAAAACTTCCTGTTCGATCAAGTTTCTGGCGTTTGCAACTAGCTTCTTACCGACGAAAGAACTCCATATATTTTTTGGTGTGTTCCGAATGAATCGTCTCAAATGACGTTTTAGTTTTGAATATATCATAGATTCGTGACTGAGAACAACTTTGTACAGTGCGCTTTGTTTCTTCTCTATTACATTTCCTGTGATGTTAATGAAGCCGAATTTAAAAAA